GTAGGACACAGTCACTGTACCGGTATTTAGCAAGTCTCTATCACCAGTAAGGACACACAATGTCTTTGAGCCACATTAAGCTCTAGCACTGGTAGCTGTTTGAGGTATCATCTCCCATATGTTGGAGATGTCAGGAACCTTCACAGGTGTTAGCTGGTGGGTAACAAGTTGTTTCTGGTAGTTTGATAGTTGGTGGATGTTGGTGGGACTGTGAATCTTCTGCCAGCTCTTCAGAAAATATACATCCTGTCAAGAAAATAACTCAACATTAGTCATCATCAAGAGGGTAACATCTTGACAGGAAAGACAGAGCAAGCATCAGTCCTCAACCCCCATCTGCTGACTCCTCCCTGCTCTCCTGTTTCATTCCTCAGATTGCCTCTCCAGACCAAAAGACATAAGTCTCCTATATTTATCTGTCTGTTTAGTGCAAGAGAAGGCAAGTCAGATATACAGTGGAGATAGATAAAGTGGTCTAACACATATATCACTCTCCCTCTCACTCTGCACACAGACACCAATATTTACTGTCAGTACCTGCATTCCTAGCTTTCCCAACCGCCCCAGCACTCATTGATCTGGGTCAAGCACACCCATACTTTGATTAACAAAGCCCTGACCCAATTCTGTCCCCATTTCGTATGTACAGATTCTGTAAGTAGTTTAAAACGTACACAATTGTAAGGGCATTAAATGTTTATCAGTATGGGTGGTTTATTGAGGGCATAAGCTATTTAGTCTGTACAGTGGAAGATCTACGTTCGAATCCGCTTCTCTAGCGATCAAGAACGGTCGAACTAAGTGAGATCACACAGCCGATATGGATTTCTCTACAGCAGTGACTACTTTACAGACATCATTCTAGGTACTCGTAAACTATAATTAACTTACCCAAGCATATGTAAAAACTGAGACATTTCCAGATTGCCTTGAAAAGTGAAAGTTATACAGGCACAGATTAACACATCTGGACTCTTGAGAAGCTGGCAAGGAGAATAGCGTCGCTTAGACACTTCAGGCGTTGGTACAAAAGAAGTTCCGTGTATACTGGGGCAAGGAGTAAATCGGTTTCCAAGAAACCTCAAATAACTCCCTAAATATATCTCCAAGAGATATACATTTAAAAGTGGAGTTTAGTTAAAGTAACCAGAAAAGGCAGACATAATAATGTTGTCCAATACAGGCCTATATATATAGATATAAGGGACTATATATATCTGGGCGAGTCCAAGTTTGAATTTTGTGCAGATTACAGGTAAGACAGGTTATCAGCCTTACAGACCGATGCGTAATGGCTATCATTTCACGACACTTGAGCGTTGACTCTAACACCTCTATAGTGTTCCTAATATGTCACTGTTCTCCATGGATCCATGTATCTTGTGTTTTGTCTCTGTAGCTCAATGTCTCGTTTCATGTCTGCTCTCCAGTGACTGTCTTCGAGGTTCAATATGAACGGCTGCTCTCCTTCCAGTGTTGAGCTGGCATCGAGGATCATTGAGACTAGTCGCTCGTCCTCTGAGTCTCAACGACTGAAGGCTTCTAGTGTTGGGTTTACATCTCTACCACTGAAGGCTGTCTTGAGGGTCCATGACTGGTCCCTTCTCTCTTGAGTCTTGTGGACTGAAGAATTCTCCTGAGTGGATTCTTACCCAGTATTTATACTTGGATGCTGGAATGCAAGTTATTTGTTTTCTTCTAACTTTTTCTGCTTCTAGAATATTCTAGTACGTCCAAACTTGTTTACTATGTATGTTCTAACGTGGAATTTTCTAAAAATATCTAAAGTGCATCGGATTTCATCATCCTATTCTACGCAGATATAGTAGTTAAACTGACAATTGAGGTCATAGAAACTTCTAAAAAACAAGGACAATTGTGTTTGCTTTGATAGGGCATGACAACAAGGTATTTACTAGGAAGACAAGGTTGGGTCACATGATGAAAAATGCATTTCAAAACTTCTAGAAAGAAGGACAAGGCCAAACAACCTCAGTTTGATGTCAATAGCTTGTTTTGGCGGGAAAAGAAGATTCTGGAAAAGGGAATGTCAAGGCTGCCAAAACTTGTTGATTTTCAGTACATCATAACTTTGTGCCTTCTAACAAATAAACTATGACTTAATAACTCTGTTACAGAAGCACATAGAACTGAAAACTGCACAGCAAATGAAATGCAAAATTACAAAACTATCCACCCCCTGATATAATGGACTGTCCCGTGACCTGTGGATTTCCCATTTGTGGTCAGCTATTCAAAAAGTACCAAACAATTAGATGTAAACAGTGTTTTTGTGACATGTTATGAGCAGGAATGGACTCAAGAACTTGGTTACAACTGGCAAAAGTGCAAGGGAATGCAAAGAGATACATATCTAGGTGGTCTGGTCATATGGGTGGGGCAAGATATGAACATTACCTGATCAGTCGTTCTGGTGATTGTGTGAGATGGTGAAACAACAGGGCACATGATGTTGATGATAATTCATTCTGCTGAATTTCTTTGATTTTGAAATTTTCACAAAATGATAGTTACAAGTTAGAGGCTGATAAATAAACCCAAAAAAACTAATAGAAACTGACCAGTGAGCACAGGTAAGCCTGCTAGCTTTTATGTCATCATGGCTCCCAAGTTATTTAAAATACTTGTGTGTGTGTGTAACTTTTTCACTTATAAAGCTTTTTTTAAGCGATTGAATCAATAAATACAAAAGAAGCAAAAAATTAACTGCTATCACGCACTTTGACCAGCCATTGTGTTGTAGCGGCTAGATGCTCCACTGCGGATCTAAAGTTGCTGGCGAAGCCGGAGTTTAGTTTATCGTCTTCAAAAATGACCTTGCATCCAGGTCGACCCAGGCTTAAATGGGTACGATTGTCTATAAAATATAGGTCTGGCCCTTTATGCCTTTAAACAGGTAACAGATTTTGTTGACTCAGGAATGGGGATCAAAGTGACATCATTAAAAGTTTATTATGACATCACAGTGACACACACACACACACCCCTGACTTGGCCATGTAGTGGCCATGGACTAAAGACTTCATTTCGTTAAAAATACACACACACATAAACACAGAAGTAAATGCTGGGAAAAAGCTTTCCTCGGGGTGACAGAGTTAAAGGTGCAAGATTCAACTACATTTCATCAGGTATGATCACTTCTGACTTGGTATCTTTTAGCAGAGCAACTGATCACCAATTCAGAGTGCTGCATAATGCATTTTAACTCTTTGTCCAAAGGAATGCAACATATGTTCCCCCCTAAAAGCCTAATTAACACATGATATGCCGATTTTATGTCTCTGTTGTTGACTATCCCTTGGTCCTGTGATGCTAAACCCCCCCCCCCCCCCCTGGGACTCAACACTATAGCTACAGAGCTACTGCAATGGGCGGAGAAAAGGATGGGGGTGGGGGGGGGGGTGTTTGAGGTGCTTGAGCTTCCAAGTTCTGGCACCAGTGCCTGTGCAATCCTTGTGATTTCATGAAGTCTAGTCCCAGCACTTTTGGCTCTCTTAGCAACATTCATGTTCGGGTTTCTCTTGGACGCCTTGGCCTCCTTAATCCATTTATTTAAATTTTGGTGCCTTTTTAGTGTCGCCTACTGACAGTGGCAAAGAATATCTTAAATTTCTGATCTGTTGTTTTGTCGTCTCCTGATAGTTGCAAAAAATGTTTTCAGTCAGTAAAAGAAAAGAAAAAAATAATGAACAAACAGGAAGCAAAACATTTTGAAATTTGTGACATTTTTCTGAACACAATTTTTTCGTTTGTCTAGAAAAATACATTAGATGAGAAAAATATCTGATCAGAATTATGAATTTAATTAAACACATCACTTAACATGCAAGAGAACAGGTTACAATCACAACTCCCTCCAGGTTGTTTGTTGCCACAACAACTCACTGAAGGTTGTTTGTTGCCACAACCACAACCCACTCCAGGTTGCTTGCCTTGTAAATATCCTTATAAGTGTTAAATGCCAAGTCCAGCTTCTCAACAACAACAACAAAACTTTCAGCAAAGTGGGACAACTCGCAATAACATACTGGTTAAATATTAGTTGCCTGTCCTTTTCACAAACCAGTGTCAGCTTTTATTTGCCATTGTCTTGTTTTTCTAGACAATTCTATGCTCAATAGTTTGCTTTGGCATATTTTAGAGTGGTAAAACAAATAATGGGCTATCAAACAACTTTGGAAAGAAAGAACATATAACAAATCCATCAAGGCTGAAGGTTGCTCTGCACATGTAACTAAAACATGGCAGTCGTGACCTAAATCCAGAAATTTCCTATGTCATCATCATTTCTTCTCCTGCCCCGACCACCACCACCACCTCTACCACGCCCACCAAAACCTGATGATTTTCTCTCGTCACCATTCCGTTGTTTAAAAGATGAGAATCTTTCTGCCATTGCTACCAGTTCATCCGGAATAATCTGCAGAAAGCCAAAAAATAAAAACAATTAGGAACCAGATTTTTTCTTATGTTATATTTAGCATCTAACTACACAACTGAAACATGGACCAAACGGTTACAAGGAATCAGCCCAGCTATCGATGTCACTGGAATATACAAGCTCCTATAGTTCAAAACCACTCTTGTCAGTAAGTACAGGGGAAAGAGAAACCTTTAGGCTTAAAGACAACATAGCTCTTAAGGCCATTGGAATACACATCGTCCTCCACTACAGTTCCAATCCACCTATCAACAATTATAGGGTTGTGAGAAACCTAAGCTTCTGGTTCAAAGACAAATGCTTTTAGCCTTAGTTGTACCATAAATGTGTTTGTTTACAGCAGGACTGAGAAATGTCCAGCATGCAACATCATTTGGTCAGACCTGGCAAGGCCTCATCACCAATCAAGTATTGAATGGTCTATAAAAAAAAAGAGTAAGGGTCAAGCACCACAGCTGAGAAAAGGTCCTTCCTACTTTCATGTGTCTTCCTAGGTATTGGGCAGAGAGCATCAACTCTGATGCTTCAGTGATGAATCCCGTCCTCCCTCAGGCAGTTAAAACTGATGTATTAAAGTGCTCAGGTACTCCAGCTACATCTACAGGCTCTGAGCATCAGAGACATGGGGAGGGCAAGACAAGTAGTTAACCAGATGATAACGGGCACCATCAGTATGGAGACTTTGCTGGCTGTTGAGGAAGGAGTCAGAGCTAATATGGGCTTGTCCTGAAGGCTGTGATGTTGAATCCCTACACGTATGAATTCCTCCTTCCTTGCCGATGCCAATCCCTCCCCCCACCAATTCCTGCTACCCATGTTAAAGAGGTTGTAACAGGGAGACGTCATCACTTGTTTGTTAGGAGGTAGCAAAGCTAAGATGTACGAGAATCAACAAGTTTTGGTAACCTTGAAATTTTCCTTTCTAAACAATCCTTTGTTTTTAACAGAGGAATATTTTGCAAAAGTATAATCTATAAATAGTATATGGTGTCATTGTTGACATGCCCTTCCAAAGAGAAAGTAGTTGTACTGGCTTTCTAGAAGTCTCTATGACGTCAGCTGTCAATTTAATTACTATATTTAGGTGCAGATGAAATCTGATGCAATGGAGACATAATTAGAAAATCCCACGTGAGAATGTAAATAGTAAACAAGCTGAGCATACAAGAATATTCTAGAAGCAGATAAAGTGAGAAGAAAACAAATACCTAGCATTCCAGCATCCAAGTATAAATAATGAGTAACAGACCACTTTAGCATCCTTCGGTCTACAAGACTTAGAAGAGGAGGGACTAGTAACATGGACCCTCAAAGAAAACCTTCAGCCGTTGAGACTCAGAGGATGAACGACTAGTCTCATTGACCCTCGCAGTTGTAGAGATGCCAGCTCAAAACTAAAAGAAAATTCCAGTCACATGGAGTCTCGAAGACAGTCACCACTAAAGAGCAGACATGAAACGAGACAACAAACTGAAGAGATGACATACAAGATACATGGATCCATGGTCAACAGACACACATTATGTAGAAACACTTAAGATGCTAGAGTCGAAGATTAAGCTGTTAGTACTAGACAGCACTATAAGCCAGGTGGCAGTTACAAACACTAGAGCCAGTTAACAAAGTAACTAGTGATGAAGAGCACAATGTGACCTTAAGAGTATGTAACAATAGGGAGAACACAGTGCCTTTCAGAATATAACTGATGTTGTTTGTGACATTGCTGAAGTATCACAATAAAGACAGTGTAGACAATAACTGTTGTTTCCAGAAATTTTATTATACAAGCATCAGAGTCACGTGAGAAGCATGCAACTAGCAAGACATCATCATCATCACTATCGACACAACCATCTTTCTCCTCGTCTATTCTCTTCCAATCGACTCCTGTAGTAAAACTAAAGATGAACCTGGGTGTAACATCAACGTATGCAACGAAGAACAGAACTGTGCTACAAGTTTTGAATTTGAAAAATCTGCTTTGATAGGGGTTGGATCACATGAATACCAGGCTGGCAAGTAATTATATTATCACTCCACAGCTCCCGACACTCACGTTTCTTTGTAAAATGATGTACAACCTGGTCATTATCAAAAGAATGGTCATTCCCCCGTGTGGGTTCCGGGGCCCCATTGTGGGGAAAACAAGAATAGACCCACTGCCTCACCAAAAGCATGTCGTAAGAGTCGACTAATTGGGAGCCTCCTTTGAAGTCGGAGTGCATCTGCCGGAGAGGCAAGGAACCAACAGTCTGTATTCAAGATATTGAGATCTATAAAACTGATGCACACGCAACACTCAGGTTCTGGAGCAGGACTGCAGTTCAGTAGTGGATGAGCAACCAGAACTTTCCGCCAGAGTGTACAGCTGGTGAATGCGAAGAAGAAAAGAATGGTCAATAACACAAATGACTGAAATAATTAACAGGAGTGTCCGGAACCCCATATGTGAAGCACAAAAATAGGCACTCTCCCACTGTCTTCTTTTTAGCATCCAGTGGCTGTAAAGTCCATCAGAAAGTTCTGCTTGTTCAACCACTACTGGACTGTGGTCTTGTTTTATAACGTGTACTTATGTACGATGGGCATGCACATCTGTTTTACAGATCTGACTTATCTGTATGCAGACTGTTGGTTCCTCACCTCTCAAGCAGAAGCACTCTGACTGTGAAGGAAAAACCCCTAATTAGTTGCCTTGTATAATCCATGCTTGCTGGGGATGGGGGCAGGGGCCTATTTTCTCCCCAAAAATCTTCTTTGCTTTCTCTTTTTTCATTTAGACATGGAGGGAGATATAAGGTTCTGTTTCTTGCTCTTCTGACCTCCTCGACCATAAACACATTGTGCTGTTGTAGAGTTTCTCTGATGTCATCTTTCCATTTTGTTCTTAGTCTACCGCAAGCTCGATGTCCTTCTCTTTTGGTGAATGACTTATAGGGTAAGGCGTCACAAGGCATGCCTCTATATGTGCAAATCAATTCATTTGCACTTTGTATGAAGTTTAGAACAGGTTCTGTGCCCACCTGTTCTCTTATGACCACTCTCTTAATCTGTATCTCTTATGGCTATTCCTACAGCCCTTTCCCCTAATACTGGGGGGAAAAAGGGTGTGGGGGGGGGGGGGAGGGGGCAACAAAGCCCACATGGGAACTTCCAGTGTGTATTCTTTGCTCAACCACTGCAAGTTACAAGAGGACCAAGATGAGATGCAATGTCGTTCTGTTACCTGATTGGCCTCACTCATGATGTCAATAAGCTGCTGGGCATTCTTCCAATCATTGCGGGTCATGAATGTCAGTGATGTCCCTGAGCGGCTGAGGTCAAGAAGAAAGTATTTGTACAAGTTAAAGAGGAACTTCATGAAACCATCCATTTTAAAACAAGAAATATGTAAATCATAGAAGTGATTACAATCACACAAAAAAAGGATAAACTTGATTAGAAATCTGTAAATAATGGAAGTGATTACAATCACACAAAAAAGGATAAACTTGATTAAAAGTGAGGGGTGATTGTTCTAATGTGTTAATTTCCTCACATAGCTTTCTGCATTAGTAAGTGCATTACTGAAGCTTGAATCAAACTGTTCATATCTTTGAAGCAGTCAATAACACTCACATGTTGTTTCCATCTTAGTGAAACAAAACCTAGATGTAATACTCTAACACATTTCATGAGACTCCCGAGATGGCATTTTGATGACAAACTTGAGCTGGGCAGTCACATTCCATTCTTCTTCTTCTTGTTCACCGGCTGTGAATTCCGGCGGTAAGTCGCGGTTGTTTGTCCAAAATGGACTTTTGGCTTTTACCTTGACCTGAGTTTTGCGTGTACATCCGTTTTACTGGCTTATTTGTTTGCAGTACTCGTTCCCCGCCTCTCCGGCAGATGTACTCCGACTTCGGAGGAAAACATTCCATTCAAAGTGAGACAGAGTCACCTGAGACAAGTGCAACATATGCAAAATAAATATGTCTTAAAATATTACAAATGACGGACGCACAACAACAGAGTTCTTACCCTGCACGACCAGTTCTGCCAATTCTATGCACATATTCTTCTATATGATTTGGAAAATCATAGTTGAGCACATGTCTGAAAATGATGCATGAGAATTCAATTATGAGCACATAGTCAGCTTGATTCTTGCTCAAGAACATGATAACAAGATTTTTTTTAAAGAACCAGAGCATGAATTAATGGGGCAGACAAAAACCAGACAAACTTAGTCATTATTCGCAAATGGCACCAATACTAAGAAACAAACATGTCAGTAGAAACCAAAGGAGCATTCTGTGACAATGTTGTTGCTAACTCTGTGTTATCAATGCCAGACATGGACAATGATAGAAAAAGGGAAAATAACAATCACAACTAAAAAAGAGATTCCTGTGAAGGGCTGTCAATATAACTAGAGGAGATCAGATCAGAAATGATGGAATCCGAAAGAAAACGGGGGTAGCAGCAACTCTGTATTTCATTAGAAGACAATAGGTGAAATGGTTTGGTCATATAACATGGATGTCAGCAGACAGTACACCATGGCAAGCAATAATGTATAGACCAGGCGGGAAGCAAAGAAGAGGCCGACTATGCAAGCTATGGACAGAGGGAATTACAGAAGCCCTGGAAATCCCAACTGATTAAGCACAAGACAGGAGGTTTCCTGTGAGTTATACTTCATCTGGACACCTCAAGGTACAAGAGGATCAAGATGAGATGAGATTATTCCAGCGTTACTGTATCTTGCTGACAAATTGCAGCCTTCACAATCATTCAACTGAACCTTTTTGGTTTATTGAAGTATGCTTCAGTTCAGTCTCTGAAATAACTAGTGTCTCCCCCTCTCTCATACATTAACATGTGTATATAAATATAAAAACTATAACCAAAGTGTTGAAACTGATCAGTGAGACTGAAATGTAGTATGCTGAAGATTAAAAAAAAAAAATCAGGTAAGGTTTATGTACTAATATAAAAATTATAATTCACTTCCAGTATTAATTCATTTATTGTACTGTGGTGCTATGTCTGTCATATAGGGCTTACAGTCCTTTCCTGATTCTGTTCTATCCTGTGTGGATATCATGGATGGAACGAGTCCAGCAGCTTTAGCCTCTCTCATTAACGTTCGTCTTAGACAGTGGTTCTCAACCTTTCTAATGCTGCGACCCTTTAATACAGTTCCTCATGTTGCTGCTTCATAACTTAAGTGAATATGTGTTTTCCTATGGTCTTATGTTTCCGCTGTAAAAGGGTCGTTCGTCACCGAAAGATAACGCGACCCACAGGTTGAGAACCGCGGGTCTTTTTGGTGTCCTCGCTGACTCATTCCCAGCATTAACATCTTTTTTCTTACATATGCAATAACCACATTAATTTCTGAAAAGGCAAGAGACATCCTCATGCATGATAAAATGGGAGTAATGACTGTCAGAGCGCACAATAGGACCAGAGACAAAGTGTTTTAATGGAAATCAACTACAGCCAACCTTTACTGTGGGGATGGCCCGTGACTGAAAGAAACTGTAAGAAAACTAGATAGATCTACAGCACCATATCTTGATGAAGCAATTAACAAACAGATAATGTATTGATAGGCAATCAAAGAAACAGCAGAGATAGAAACACACGTTAGACAACAAAGAAATCCAGGAGAAAGGTCCCATAAAAGAAACATCCTTTAGCTGTCTCCTACCACAGACACCACACATAAATCAGACAAGTGAGCAAAAGAAGCTAGCCTAACCTGTTTGGAGATGTTACAACTGACAAGTACATATACTTACGTAATATCTTTAACATCCAGACCACGAGAAGCAACATCTGTAGCAACCAAGATTCGAACAGCACCACTTTTAAACTCTTCTAGTGCTGTTTCTCGATCACACTGTTCTCTGTCAAAATAATCCAGTTGAGAAAGGTTATATATATATATACACACACACACATATATATATATATATAAAAAAAGCTGAAATAGATTGGTTTTAAAGCTCTGGTTGTATACTCTCTCAGATTGCTTTTCTGTTGATGCTAATATCCCACTGGTATAATCTTTTGCGCGCCTGCTTTAATGTTTTCCTCCAGTATGGCAGTTTTAACAGTGACATATCTTTAATGTGATGACAATGTTTAACTTGTTTCTCTTTTTTATTTATTTCAAAAGCACTATCAGTTCTTCATCTATTCAGAACTTTTGTATTTGACAATTTTTCTCCCTAAGAAATGGGGTATTATAAACAGCATATTTATACCAATACTGTGCTATCAGTGCCAGACGGATATTATCAAAGGCCAACGTAGGTAAAATTAACACCTGTGAAGTGAGAGGCCTGAAAACAGCTGCCAACTGAACCACCCGAGACAAAATTAGAAATGATATTACCAGACAGACTGTGGGAACAATACCATGCAGCAGATTCATATTTATGTGGATGTTTTGCTTCAGGTTTTTGTTAGCAGTACTTTGAATTTTACTTTCTGGCCTCCTCTTTTTTAATCACATGTTGTCATGTTGCAGGGTGGGGCCGAGGGGAGGAGATGTGGATGGTCTTGTCACATACTCAAGGGGACACCATCCTAAAAAGGTTGGAAACAATAGTATTACTAGTTTAGAAAAATTAGACATTGATAATGGTAGGTGATCTGACATGTTTTCTGAAGGAATTGACTCAAGAATTCAAAGAGGGGGGGGGGGGGGGGGGCAGGGAAAGGCAAAATGTTAAAAACCTCAAAATAAAATAATGGCAACTCCGCATGTATTCAGTAACTGCCACACTAAAGCAGAATATGGAGGCTATGGTGAAACAATCAGCAACTGTAAACACATCAGAAATGTACCTGTCTCCATGGATACATTGACACTGGACATCATTCATTGCCAAATCACTGGACACATCATCAGCACTGAAAACAAAAAATGCACTTGTATAATTAATCCCCCCTCTCTGTCTGTGCATATGCATGCATCCATCCATACCTACATGCATTTTCAAGCAAGGGAAAGAAATCTGTGTTTTCAGACAGGAAATTCTTGAGCTGCAGTTTTCATTAGTGGTTTCAGTTGTATACAGAATTTATGTGCAGTGAGGAAGAGTGTTTTAAAGTGCTTATTACAACTGGTGTTGTCATATCCATGTGAGCTGTAGATAAAAAGCAGACAAGCCACACACACAAAAATGCATACATGCATGTGTGTGCATGTAAGCATAAATGTACACGTAAGTGTGCGTGTATGCATGCATAAGTGTTTGATTAATTAAGTGTGTCTAAATAGTTATGAGATTAGAGCCACAAGCTTAACAGCTGAACTATAATGGAACTCTGCACTGGCTGCTGAAGATGAGGACAGAGCGCACGTGGGAATGCCTGGAATGCTGTGATGTCAATTCTTGACTCAACTCAACTTTAGTCCAACACTGTAATCTGTCAAGTTGCAATATCTGTGCCATTTAGCCCAACATTTCAAATTCCAGCCAATCGTTAATAAGTTGCCTTGCAGCACGTGCATGTTAAAGGCAGTGTGTTCATTATCCTCCCCCCACCCCCCTCAAACAGAGATCTGGAATCCACACAGGGAAATAGTGTGTCATTCTTCATATATTTAGTATTTACAGGCTTACTACTTATACCTGTCTACTGTTGACAAACATCCTAACCATTAGTTAAAACACAATAAATTGCCTACCATACCTAAAAAGTAATTTATATTTGATTATAATTTCCCCGGTGTATATGAAAAATCTGGTGTGTTTGCTATATCAATGACCATTCATAATTTTATGTTTGCAAAATGTATGGTAAATACTCAGATCATTAATCAGCACCAACTCAAGAATATAAATAAACTTACACCATCTTTTTTCCAACAAAGACAATCAGCTTATCATCTTCTGTCATATTTGAGATGAAATCCAGAAGCTAAAAAAAAAAAAAAAAAAAAAAAAAAAATAGAGAAAAAACATATTTTCTATTAAGAAGAAACATAAATTTTAAAAACCAGTTGCAACAACTAAAATATTAGTCAACTACCAGAAAGGAACAGTTGAGAATTTTAGTTTCTACAAACTTTTGACTATATTTCCTAGTAGATTAAATGTTTTCTCTAATCACTAGCTATGCTAGAAAGACAATGGTATAATGATCAATTAATCAGGTGCCACCACCACAATAAAGGTTGGTTGCAATGGATCTCCAACCTAATTAAATGTTTCCTGTATATTAGTAACAAATGTACAGTTATAATTACAATGGCTAGCACAGCTTACTTGGGATGTTTATGATACACAATAACTATTATGTGCATGCAACTCAGGTTCTGAAACAAGATTTAAATCCAGAGGTAGACGAATAACCAGAACTTTCAGCTGGAGTTTACAGCCACCTTTATTTTTGTTCCGGGACACGCAGGCGTCGATGGAAATGAAAGAGCTGACAGGTTGGCTGGATCCGCTATCACTACCGACGGTCAGCCTATGGATCATGCTGATATTATCAATGCCCTCAGAAAAATGGGAAGGATAGAGGACTTTGGTGGCAGTGAATCCACATCACTCGCCAGAATGGCAGACTTGGGAATATTTTAAACCCCCCCCTCCCCCCCCTTTTTTTTTCTGCAGCAAGCATGTCCTAAAAGTAGCTGATTAGGGTTGTTTAACTTCAAATTAAACAACCCTAATCAGCTACTTTTAGGACATGCTTGCTGCAGAAAAAAAAAGGGGGGGGGGGAGGGGGTGTTAAAATATTCTTTGGTGTTGAAATGGGGCCTTGGAACCCACATGGGGAACAACTGTGAGAATGATAGTCCAAACCTCTTTTAAACTTTCACTGGAAGAGAGTCAGTACTCATGTGCTTGTCCTAAGTGTAGCTAGAAATATTCGTTGTTCATCATCATTTGTAAAATCACACAGAAATGCTAATGCCTAATTTTGTGATTTCCATGTCTGAGTTGGACCTGCAGCTGTCTAGACCAGCGGTTCTCAAACTGGGTGCCGCGAGCGTATACCAGGGCAATAAAGAAAAATTCCTCCAGTTTCCTTCATCGCATTAAAGACAAGTAAGCATTAAATATGCACTGTTTTTCCCCCTTCTTTTCCTAAGTATTCAAACTGCTTTAAGGGTAGCTGTGCGGCAAAAAAGATTTTGCCTGACAAGTGTGGCGCTGCAAAATAAGTTTTAAAACTGCTGGTCTAGACTATATTTATTATTTCATCTGTATTCTGTCATTTCACTTCCTCCTCCCCAGCTCTTACTTGCCAGATAAAGAATTTTAAGGACAGAAACAAAAGGACATTTACTTTGGCTACCTACCATGCTTTTCTTTTCTTTCTCATCTACAAATTCCACGTATTGAGTGACACTATGAACAGCCTGAAATAGAATTTTCTGGTTTTGTATTTCAGCAACATTTTGCTCTAATGACCTAAATATAAAGAATTGTTGTTATCTAAAATTCACAATTAGTGAAAAATGAACATGCATAACAAAGAAATGTTTTAGAAAAAATAATTATTTAAAAAAAATTACAGAAACAACAAAACAAAAAATATAAATTCTTTATGCGAGAATAAAAATGAAAAGTAAAAACAGTGATGACACAGAAAAGAACTTTACTATTATGAGGACAAGAATGGGGCAGGGCCTATTTCATTTCAAAACTGAGAAATGAAAGGTGAAAGAAGATGAGGAAGATAAAAAAGTAGCAGAAGAAGAAGCAGAAGAGGAAGAAATCAGTAAAGATATGACTGGTCACCAGATGACTGACCATGATATGAATAAATATATGGAACAATTTTAAATATGTGATTTAGCTCAGGTTGAACCATAGTCCTGCAGCAAATATTGACTCCAATGTGTGAAATGTTAGGTCAACTCCTCGACACATGAGACTGATTTCTCAGAGCTGTTTAGAAAAAAGATGGCCCTTGTGGTTTTCAGGCAGTGGTGCAAGATTCACACATGAAAGATAAAGGACCTTACCAGTGTCTCTGCTTGTTACTCAGACATTTCTCTTATTTCTCTACCCCTCTTTAATTTTCCTGGTCACCAGATCAAGACATCAAGATTTGTCCATCCCCTTAATTTCTCAGGGAGTCGCCGTGGCAGAGCGGCTAGATGCTCGCTGCGGATCGGAAGGTCGTGGGTTCGCTCCCTGGCGGAGCCAGACTATTTTCAAAAATCACCTTGGCTCCCAGGTCGACCCAGCCTTGAGTGGGTACCGGGTGCAGTCCCGGGAAGTAAAGGTGGCCGGCGTGATGCTGATCACATCACCCATCTTGTGCCGATTGGTCTATAAAAATATAGGTCTAGCCCTATATGCCTAAAGACGTGGAAAAGGGTCCTGTACTTACTTACTTAATTTCTCAGAAAATTCTGAAAAGTTATCCAGTGAAATTTCTGAGGCCAGGTCAGCCATGCAACCCTACTGGCTGGAATCCTGCTACCACTGGGTGTTAAACCCAGACCACTTTCTTTATAAGGTAGGAACTAGCTAGTACCCTTTAGTAGCTAAGAAAGCATTAACATGTTGCCCCCAAAATAAAACCTAAACCAAGAAAGTTCTACAATAGTTAAGTTTGACAGATTTTTTTTTTGTTCACCCCCCCAAAAAATGAATCATAAAGTAATGAATGTATAAATAAGTGTAACTAAATAATATTACTGATATTAATAATTTATATTATAAATTATAATTAAGTATCTGTTAATTTGGCTAGAACCAAATATAGGAAATTAACACTGTCCTCTGCCAGTGATCAGCAGGCCAAGATACACTTTAACCACTTACAGCAAGGTCCAAGGTGCCCACAAAGACTTTGTATGGTTTTGTCATATACTGTTCTGCCAGCTTCTGGACTTCTGGTGGCCAGGTAGCACTGCAAGAGGAAGATAGAATCATGTCATTGCTTTGTTTAGTAAGCTGTCTAAGAAAAAGTATGAAGCAGACATTCTGGGGGCATGACACATTTCTTTAAATAAGACAGCAGAATATACTAGGTAAGTAAATAAAGGACCCATTTACACGTCTTCAGGTGTACTGGGTATATAGGGCTAGACCTATATTTCATAGACCAAACGGGACTTGGTGGGGGATGTGGTCAGCATCACGCCAGTCGCCTTTAATTCCCAGGATTGTACCTGGTACCCACTCAAGGCAGGATTGACCTGAGAGCCAGTCATATTTGGAAAAATTCCCCTGTTAGGACCTAAACCCACGACCTTCTGATCCGCAGTCGAGCGTCTAGTCGCTAGACCATGGCGGCTCCCCAAAATATACTAGGAGGCTCAACAAATTGACAGGAAAGATGCACACAGATACAAACAAACAGTCTGACCAAAGTCTATCACAACAATTCTGCACAAAATATGAGTGACATTGGGTTTATTAAAATTACTAAAAGCAGTCTTCTTCTTTTCAGCATTCCCTAACTGTGGCAATAAGGCCAATCTGTGTTTTATAAACAAAAGGACGACTTGGTTAATCTCAGCCTTCTATAATGCTTGGAAACAAAGGAGTTAAAGGAAAGAAGTTTGGGGGGGGGGGGGGGGAGGAGGAAAAAGTGTACCTTGTCATCACTGTCTGTCTGTCTGGCCTGATGTCTAGCATGACTTTCTTGATCTCCAGCTCAAAGCCCAGATCCAGCATTCTGTCAGCTTCATCCATGACCTGTGAAAACAGCAGAAATATCAACTGCTGCACAATCTTTGTGGCCATTGAAAGAGAATTAGAAAGATATAAATATTGATGAGCACTCAAAATATATATTAGTAAGAAGTCAGAGGATATAATCTTCTTCATATGGTTCATGCCATGTGACACTGTTAATCATGTCTGTTGAGAGTCTCCTGCCTTGTGTACTGCCAATAATTTCTAATACAGATATTCTTTAAAGAGATCCTACACTCACACTTAATGACATTAACTAATGTTAGCCATCGATCAATGGACTGCAAAATTATTCCTCCTTGCAATTTTTAAAGATAAAACCTGAAAACTGATGATGGTAATGATGATGATGTTCTTTCATGCTGTGATAAGGACATAACAGGCAAAAGAATAATGGAAAGCTAAAAGAACACTGAGGTTTAAAGGTCCTTGTGTCAAAAATACATTTGTTCTTTCAGCAAAGTTCTGAAGATAGTTGACAAGTGTTAATTTCTCATTCATTCTAAAGCATTGTCAATGACTTCTTCAATATTAATGTGATAAATATAATAGGCTTTTTGAGAGAAAGAAATCTGGTCCACAGAAATCAACCTGGAAGACGCAGTATGTGACTCAGGCAAAGACTTGAAGTGCATCACATTCTCTTTGTGACTCATGCTGGAGTAGATGTGTAGCACAAGCTGATTGCTGGAGAAGAAGACTGATGAATTCAAACTCTTGTTCCTGTGACAGCCTCAAACTCATTCAGATCTGGTTCGATTCACATTAGACTACTTGCGATAACCAACAATTTGGAATGCTGCCTTCAATCTTGCAGTAATAAGGCAAGGTACTGGCCCTGATAAATTTTTTTGTATGTCTTGCCCTTCCAGAACTGCTATCTTCTGTTTGTTGCTGTCTGACTCGTCTGCACTGTTCACGCCTCTCATTTGTGATTGTAAAGCTGACTAGTTCTACTTTTTAGTTTGGTCTGGTATCTTTTCACGATGTTCAACTTCCCAATTATAAAACCACCCGACGTGTGATTCTGATGTACACACATCTGGATCTTTGCTGGCTTATGATGTTCATGCACTGTGCTGAGATTTTCCTCATGAACTATGAGGGAAATTTAGAGCACTTTTTGTGTGCAAAAATAAGCTGGTGACTAATGTTTGCAGTGCCCCTACAGATCCAAACAGTTTGGAGTTTAGCGCTGAGACAGCGGGTACCCTGTGTGGGTTCCGGGGCGCCATTGTAGGAGAAAGAAAATAGAGGCATTGCTCCCATTACAAGTATATTGTAAAATTAAAATATTTAGGAGTGTTTCCTTCAAAGCCAGAAAGCATCTGCCCAAGAGGTGAGGAACCAACATGTCTGCATATAAATAAGCCAGATTTGTATTAACAGAAGTGCATACAAAACTCAAGTTCTGGACTAAAGTCAAGAGGTGGACAAACAGCCACAACTTTCACCGCAGTTTACAGCTAGTGAATGCTTGAAGAACAACAACAAAACAGTGGGTCAATATAACTTTCTAAACTAGATCACAGAGGACAAAGCTGCAGAACGAGTTCATCAGTATGTTTTCTCGGTACAGTCTGTGATCTCAGTCCACAAATACAAGTAAAAGACCCTTTTCTGCCTCTGGTGTATCAGGCCAATCTGCACTTGATAGGTCAACATCGCTACGGCCACTTGTACTTCCACGGACATTATCTGGTATCCATTTTAGGCTGAAGTGACTTTAGGAGCCAATGTCAATTTATTTTTCCAAAAATCTGTCTAGTTCTGGAAGTAAATCCTAGAACTTCAAGTTATCAGACATTTGCCTGGATGCTAGGTTTCTGTGGCCTCCTTAGTCTCATGATTTAATTGTCCCACTATGTACTTCTACTTCTTGTTTAGACTGTTTCATAAATGATGTCCTTCACTGTATTGTAATAATATATACATATGATTTGCATTAACTTTACTGTAAATACATCTATGCCGGCGTGATGCTGACCACATCACCCATCTTGTGCCGTTGGTCTATAAAAATATAGGTCTAGCCCTATATGCCTAAAGGCGCGGAAAAGGGTCCTAAATACATCTATATTGTTTGTGGGTGGTTGTATAAGTAAGCTTGATACATGCTGTCTGTTCTTTAGCATAACTTATATAGCTTCTCTTAGGATACAATTATCTTCCATGTTTGCTTATTGGCTTTCAATTTTTTAAAAATTTGTTTTTTGATTTTATTTTACTGTGTTTGTGCCATTCATCATTATGTCCTGGCCCAGATTCATCTTTAATTTCTTTCACATGTTTTGATTTGCGAATACAACCTCATGCACGACATAAACACAGACCCTCATAAACTTATTTAAGTAATTCAGCCATTTCATAAGCATTTTTCTCAGTTTCAGAGTTAATGTTTCCCTCTGGCACCATGCTGCAGATGTAATGGGGAAACTTTACTAGCTAAACAAAATGGCAGGTTATTTGTCATCTGCTGACTAGTAGCATTACAATTTTGCCTGATTGTAGATGAATGCTGCCTGTTTGGATGGCATGCTCTGCTTCATGGATGGCAGGTTTTTTTCCCCAGACATAATACAGTTTCATTATTGGACTGTGTAATAATATACCTACTGTAAGCACTTAACTTTTTTTTCTTTGTTCACCGGCAGTAAGCTCCAGTGGAAAACCCTAATTGTTTGTCCATCTGGACTTCGGCTTTGTGCCAGGGCCTGAGTTTTGCATGTACATCAGTCTTATTGGTTTATTTGTGTGCAGCTGGTTGTTCCTTGCCGCTCAGACAGATGCACCCCAACATTTAAGGAAGTCCCCAATCAGTTGACTCCTATGACATGCTTGTTGGGGAGGTAGTGCAATTATTCTTTTTTTCCCTCACAATGGGTCCTCCCCACACGGGGATAAACATTTATGAATCACTATATAAGTCTTGCCTATAAACATACAAAAGACAGAACTGTCTCAAACTACAAATATCTTACCAGATAAGTGACATGCTTGACATTAATCTTTCCATTCATCATGAAATCATTTAATCGTCCTGGAGTCGCCACTACAATTTCAACACCTTTCTTGACTTTCTCTAGTTGTTCTCTTCGATTCCCTCCGCCGTAAACACATATACTGCCATGTAAAAAGAAAAAAAAATACTTTTGATATAATAAATGCTTCCTTGTCTTTCTATAGTCCCTGCCACGTGGTGTTCACACTCATGACTATCCACAACCTTCTGTTTCAGTTACTTTTAATCATTTCTGACTAGATGACCTTCCATGCCATGATGTTTAACTCTCAGTCAGTTTTCAAAACTGGTCCTGCCTTCCAGGTCAACAGGCCTAAAATGGTTGCCTGATAATGTTCATGGGAAGTAAAGGTGACCAGTGTGATGCTGACCACATCACCAACCAACTGCTGACTGGTTAAGGACATTTGTTGTTTGCTTTCATAAGCAGTTTGTATGTCTACAGTTAAAAATCTAATTACTATGATAACACACACAATTACAGATTAAGAACACAATCTGACCAAAATGTATCTCCATAATGTCCGTTTTCCTTGCTGCCGAATCTGTTGACCTTCTCTTTTTAATTAATCACATTTTGTTATGCTGGGGGTGGAGTGTCTTGCCATATACTCAAGATGGGCCAGAGGGTCTTGCCATATACCTGGGAAGGAAGGGGGGGGGGGGGGGGCGATCCTGAAAAATTTTGATACTACTAGTCTATCTGAGGCGCCACTGGTGTAAAAAAGGACCTTGACCTACTTTACTACTCTCTACGTAGTGCTTTAAAGTGACAGTGCAAAAAGCTGGTCACTTCACTGCACTAAGGACCACTCACCTGCGAATACCTCTGTAATTGATTTTATTAATCTCCATTTCAATCTGTTGTGCGAGTTCTCTTGTTGGTGACAGTATGAGAGCTGATGGTCCAACCCTTTGTTCTCGAGGTCTGAAAACGAATGTCAGGACAGATTTTAAAAAAAAAGCTCTTTGGGATAAACATGAAAATTAGACAACAAAATAAGATCACGTAACAAAGCATGCACGTTGTGCTGTGCATGCAACAAGTTAAAAAAAAACACATTTATGGCCGTGTGCTGAGATGTATGACATCATATTTATATAAAAGATAAACAACTCTAATAATAATAACATAAAAGAACACCCCAAAAATGATGAATCTTTTAAAACACTACACAGATATAACACAATGAATCTACTATAAACACACATAACAACTTTAAAAAAAACTACAAACTTATCCACCAAAATTTATGTCACCAATAAAACATAGCACAAATAAAAGCTAACATAATGTCCCATATATAGAAGAATAAGCTGTCTGTCATGGAAATAAACACAAATATAAAGCTACTGAAAAGATGGGGAATTAAAAGAGGGTAGCTGACAGATTTGGAAAAAAAAAAGTCAAGTGAAATATTTTTAACACATTAAAAGACAAAACAGTCTCATAAAACAATACTAGAGAGAAAAGGCAGGCAAGCAGAAGTTGGATTGATACAAGTGGGAGGTTAACATGAAAAGTTAGACAAACTGTAGAATGTAAAAGCCAGGACAAGAAACAGTGTTCTGGAGATCCATTGCAGCCAATGTTCACTGTGGAGATGGCACCCAAATGAATGAATGAATCCAGAACTGATATTACTGCACTAGGGACATTCCCACATGTGCTCCATCCCCTTCCTTCTTCAAAAGCCAATGAAGAGTGCCCAAACTGCTCCATCCCCTTCCTTTCTCAAAAAGCCAATGAAGAGTGCCCAAACTGCTCCATCCCCTTCCTTCTTCAAAAGCCAATGAAGAGTGCCCAAACTGCTCCATCCCCCTCTTTCCTCAAAAAGCCAATGAAGAGTGCCCAAACTGCTCCATCCCCCTCTTTCCTCAAAAAGCCAATGAAGAGTGCCCAAACTGCTCCATCCCCCTCTTTCCTCAAAAAGCCAATGAAGAGTGCCCAAATTGCTCCATCCCCCTCCTTCCTCAAAAGCCAATGAAGAGTGCCCAAACTGCTCTATCCCCTTCCTTCTTCAAAAGCCAATGAAGAGTGCCCAAACTGCTCCATCCCCCTCTTTCCTCAAAAAGCCAATGAAGAGTGCCCAAACTGCTCCATCCCCTTCCTTCCTCAAAAAGCCAATGAAGAGTGCCCAAACTGCTCCATCCCCTTCCTTCTTCAAAAGCCAATGAAGAGTGCCCAAACTGCTCCATCCTCCTCTTTCCTCAAAAAGCCAATGAAGAGTGCCCAAACTGCTCTATCCCCTTCCTTCCTCAAAAAGCCAATGAAGAGTGCCCAAATTGCTCCATCCCCCTCTTTCCTCAAAAAGCCGATGAAGAGTGCCCAAACTGCTCTATCCCCTTCCTTCCTCAAAAAGCCAATGAAGAGTGGCCAAACTGCTCTATCCCCTTCCTTCCTCAAAAAGCCAATGAAGAGTGCCCAAACTGCTCCATCCCCTTCCTTCCTCAAAAAGCCAATGAAGAGTGCCCAAACTGCTCTATTCCCTTCCTTCCTCAAAAAGCCAATGAAGAGTGCCCAAACTGCTCCATCCCCCTCTTTCCTCAAAAAGCCAATGAAGAGTGCCCAAACTGCTCTATCCCCTTCCTTCTTCAAAAAGCCAATGAAGAGTGCCCAAACTGCTCCATCCCCCTCTTTCCTCAAAAAGCCAATGAAGAGTGCCCAAATTGCTCCATCCCCCTCCTTCCTCAAAAGCCAATGAAGAGTGCCCAAACTGCTCCATCCCCTTCCTTCTTCAAAAGCCAATGAAGAGTGCCCAAACTGCTCCATCCCCCTCTTTCCTCAAAAAGCCAATGAAGAGTGCCCAAACTGCTCCATCCCCTTCCTTCCTCAAAAAGCCAATGAAGAGTGCCCAAACTGCTCTATCCCCTTCCTTCTTCAAAAGCCAATGAAGAGTGCCCAAACTGCTCCATCCTCCTCTTTCCTCAAAAAGCCAATGAAGAGTGCCCAAACTGCTCTATCCCCTTCCTTCCTCAAAAAGCCAATGAAGAGTGCCCAAATTGCTCCATCCCCCTCTTTCCTCAAAAAGCCAATGAAGAGTGCCCAAACTGCTCTATCCCCTTCCTTCCTCAAAAAGCCAATGAAGAGTGGCCAAACTGCTCTATCCCCTTCCTTCCTCAAAAAGCCAATGAAGAGTGCCCAAACTGCTCCATCCCCTTCCTTCCTCAAAAAGCCAATGAAGAGTGCCCAAACTGCTCTATCCCCTTCCTTCCTCAAAAAGCCAATGAAGAGTGCCCAAACTGCTCCATCCCCCTCTTTCCTCAAAAAGCCAATGAAGAGTGCCCAAACTGCTCTATCCCCTTCCTTCCTCAAAAAGCCAATGAAGAGTGCCCAAATTGCTCTATCCCCCTCCTTCCTCAAAAGCCAATGAAGAGTGCCCAAACTGCTCCATCCCCTTCTTTCCTCAAAAGCCAATGAAGAGTGCCCAAACTGCTCCACCCCCTTCCTTCCTTCTTCAAAAGCCAATGAAGACTGCCCAAACTGCTCCATCCCTTTCCTTCCTCAAAAACCAAGGAAGAGTGCCCAAACTGGTGGTGTCAGTTGCAACCTGATTAAAAGTTCACCTGTTCCCCCCCCCCCCTTTTCCCTTTGCAGGTAGAGAAAACAGAAGGGATGGCACTCTCCAGAAAAGGAAGAACCAGCAATATCAAAACTGATGAACACCAGTTAGAGCAGGCAAAGGATTTTACATATCATATCTTGGGAGCATTTTTTTTAAATACGGCAGAATTGTTAAAGAAATCCAGCAGAGATGCAATAAAGCCAATCAAGTTTTAGGCCAAGTGGCACCAATTTTGAAATGCAAGTACATAAATATGCACACTAAAAGAACACTGTTCAACAAAATATTATTACCAACACTATGCTAACAATGTCAAACATGGACACTCTCTTCAGAAGACAGAAGGAAAATAGTCACAACAGAAATGAAATGTTTACATACTGTGCAAGGTGTAAAGAGGAAAGATTGATTTAGGAACATTGATAGGAGTAGAGTCGGCACAGAACCAATATAGAACTTTATAGGTAGACAACAAATCAAATGGTGTGGCCATGTAACAAGATTGGCATCAGATCGGGCACCACTGAGAGCAATGTTATTCATATACAATGGTAACAACCCCGCAGAACATGGACCGCAGAAGTATCAGAGGCACTGAAAAGTACTATATACAAAGTGAACAGGAGGGCACATGCCAGAGATCTCTTTCTGCCCTGATGCCACAAGACATTCGAGGAGTAGGAAAAAAAGAAGATAAAGAGAGTCATACAGACCCTTTGCTCACTCCTGGCTATATATGCCTTCTCTCCACATACAGAGGCACCTGAATGATAAGTCACATAAAATGATGATACACTTGTAAGTCGCCACAGAGTGATAAGTCACATATAATGATGATACACTTGTAAGTCATGTGATGTGTTACTTACATCGGTTGGCTATCTATATGAATTAGTGCTGGCAGCAAAAAGGCCAGTGTCTTTCCTGTGCCAGTCTGTAAATAAATCACATAAAGAATTACAGATTCATAATAGTAATTCCCTATGTGGGTTCTGGGATTTCATCGTGGAGAAAACAAGAATAGACCCACTGCTATCAAAAAGCATGTCATAAGAGCTGACTAATTGGGAGCTTCCTTTGAAGTTGTTAGAACATCTGCCTGACAGGCAGGGAAACAATAGTCTGCATACATATGAGTCAAATCTGTCAAATGTATGTACATGCAACACTCAGGTTCTGGAACAGGACTAGATTCCAGAAGTAAACAACCAGAACTCTAATGACATTGCAATTTTGTATGTATACAATTTTATTATTTCCTGTCTTTCAATACCAAATCTAATGATATTTTTTCTTTTCTATAGAAGTGCCATTATGTATTGTGTACTTTTTAATATAGAAAACAGTAAAAATGACCAGAGCATGTGTCTACCTGTGAGGTGAGCGAACAATGACAGACAACACCTACTGAATGTTAAGAAAATGAGAGAGAGGGGAGATGGAGATGAAGAGAGAGAGAGAGAGAGAGAGAGAGAGGGAGAGGGAGAGAGAGAGGGAGAGAGAGAAAGAGAAAGAGAGAGAGAGAGAGAGAGAGAGAGAGAGAGAGAGAGAGAGAGAGAGAGAGAGAGAGAGAGAGAGAGAGGGGGGGGGGCAGATTGTTTTAAAAACAAAAGGAAAATTTGAGATGGGTCAAGCCAAGAACATTGAACACACAAGTGAAGAATGCATATAAATGCCAACACAATGCTGTACTTCTTTTGAGTATGCATCTGGACAGTAAGTCACACAACAAAACCAGAAAACTGTCATGGCAACAGCTTGGGCCTTCTCTAGCTTTCTGGTAACACACCTGATGATTGGATAAACATGTAGGCCTTCTCTAGCTTTCTGGTAACCCAACTGATGATTGGATAAACATTCAGGTCTTCTTTAACTTTTTGGTAATCCATCTGATGATTGGATAAACATTCAGGCCTTCTTTAACTTTCTGGTAACCCATCTGATAATTGGATAAACATGTAGGCCTTCTTAAATTTTCCGGTAACCCATCTGATGATTGGATAAACATTCAGGCCTTCTTTAACTTTCTGGTAACCCAACTGATGATTGGATAAACATTCAGGCCTTCTTTAACTTTCTGGTAACCCATCTGATGATTGCATAAACATTCAGACCTTCTTTAACTTTCTGGTAACCCAACTGATGATTGATTAAAGAGCTGACATCATAGAATAGCAGGTGTACTCATAGATGCTCCAACTCCTGCAGCAAACGTCTCAAGGTGTAGATGCTGAATGTTCCAGTAGCACTCTGGCTGTACACATGTTGTACTGTTCCTCTCATACGTTCTTTCTTTCTGCAACCTTACATATGCTGTTTAATCCAAGTCTAACATCATGTCTTCTGTCAGCATTTGTTTAGAAATGGTTTTCAGAATGTCCTTATGTCTAATGTGAGTGTTTCTGCCACTGCCACTTTTGTAACCAAACAGTCAGCCCTTTCATCACCTCACACACCTGCATGAACTAATCTACCAAAATCACAGTAACACGAGGACATTGGTTATGGGCTAGAGTAGCTGCTCGCCTTTTATAATTAAGTAAGTTACCTGGCTGTGAGAAAAAAAGCAATAACAATGGTAATGACCTCACCTGTGCAATGCCGATGAGGTCTTTTCCTTGAAGAAGCACAGGCCAGGACTGACACTGAAAAAAAATATTTATATATATCTACTGACACGATGATACCACCAAGAGAAGGAGTTAACTGGATGATGTGACACCAAGAAAGCTGAAGGAGAAAAACAGAACAAAGAAAACCTTTAGAGAAGGTGCTAGACAACTTGCCATGACATAAAAAAGGAGCTGCATTCAAAATAATTAGGATATCTAACAGGAAGATAAGTCAACATTGACATTTTACAACAAAATAGTAAAAGTAGCTGGTGTGATGTTGACCCCATCAGCCGTCAGATTTGTAAAAACTGGGTCTAGCATCAAATGCCAGGTGCGCACTGGCAAAAATAAGAGGTCCCTTATGTTTTACTTTATCTACAAGAGAAGACAATTTAATATAAAATTGTTACAAATTATAATTTGATACAAAATTTAATACTTAACATACTGGACTAAAAGAAAATGTGCTTACTGAATGTTACAGAAAATATTATCTTAAATTCAAGACAATTCATAAAAACTTCATACTGCAGGTTGCTAGGTGGTGAGGAACCAATGGTGTGTGCATCTAAAGTGTGAAAGTGGATACATGGTGCTTGGAACGCTGAAGATACTGGGATAAATGTGGCATGCATATTGTGTGTGTGAATGTGTGCATCTCTCTCTCTCTCTCAGTGATTAATTATGAGAAATCTGTTTGCTACTTTCATAGTCATGATCATGTAAGAATCTATTTTGAGACTGAAATCCAGCTCGGCAGAATTTACTGGCAATTCAGACTGATATAGGTATGCATTTATGTGTTTACAGACGATCATTGTGAGTATGAGATCTATGTTATAACACACTTTATCATAAATCAAATTATTTGATTTTTTAATACGATTTCAATCACATGTGTTTTGTCTTTATTATATTCAAAGGTAGATACAGACCCTTCCTGGGCATAACCTCAAGACATATATATATGTTTATAAAATATTTTAATGACACAAACATGAGTGATGGAGTTTTCCAATGCTGCGTGCACAAAACTATGTGGTTCTCTCAAATTATGTATTACCTGAATAGGAGATGGCTTTACAAAGTTTTGCTGTTTGATTTGTTCAAGAATGAGAGCTAAAACAAGAAACAAGAAATGATTTAAAGACATTCAACATAACCCAATTTATTGACTACATTTAAAACTGCTATTAACTGTAATTGACACACACATAACAACTACCGCATAGATCCTAAGTTAGTTACCAAAATAAACAACTGTGGTTCTGCAGAGATATAGTGGAGTCACTCTACACACATTATCAGAGAAGAAACCATGGCAAACATTCTTTTGTCTTGTTTCAGAAACAAAACAGGCTGCAGAAAGTGCTAACCATAAAAGTAGTGCACTATCTGTCCGCCTGTCAGAGCTCTCCTCTTAGACCAGCTGAGAAACTGCTATTTGAAGCTACCTAAATTTACACTGATTGCCCAGTTGTCTAAAACATCGACATAAACTATTCTTTGCTCTCTTTTCTCTCCCCTGCACAAGTCTTTTTCTTGATTCCACATATTCTGTTTATAATCTCAACTACTTTATCTGTTTGTCTGCTAAGTATAGTTTTAAAGATAGACAGATGTCTATAACCCAACACCTAATTTTTGTTCTCAGTCTGCAACATTCTTCTCACTATCCACAATTGCAATGCTGTAATGTCAGTCTCTGAATTCTTTTATTAAACACAGTCCCTAATCTGACCAAGAACACACCATATTTTAACTGAATAACAGAAAATGTATTGATCTGCGCTTATAGAAAGATAGAAGAACACACTAGACAACATAGCAATTGAAAGCTTTAGTTACCGTGCCTTGAATCAAACCTGTCACCTCCAGACGGTGTGAGCGCCTTGCTATGAAAACAAGTGCACTAAGAACATGGTCAACTAGGCACCCCCCCAAGTGTCTTATTAGCCCTGTCTATCGTACAGCTTGAAATCCACAACTTTGGAATACTGACAGAATTCATTTCAAACCATTGAAATGGCACCAAAGGTTACAGAAATTTATATTAACGAAGCAAAGGTCGAATAACAAGCACAGCAACAATTTATGAACACAGTAGATCTTAATGCTTTGAGTAGGATACACAAACCTTTAAGAAAGGTATTTGATTGGTAGATAATGGTGTTTATATGTAATTCCAATAAATAAACGTTTAAGGCCATTTTTAAAAACTGATACTATTAATTTTATTAGTTTGTTTTGTTTACCATCGCATGTAGCCTATGTCATGTTATATATTCATCCTCTGTGTGTTATTAGGTCTCCTGTATCCAGGCTTATATTTTGGATGTATGAAGCCCCTGTGCAGTCATTTTTTTACATGCCTCTCCTCCCTAAGCTAAACTTTAGCACCATTATTTGCTTCTATTTGAAACTGTATTGAAGTATTTCAACTTAACTGAATACATACAAGATAGAAGAAATGTGCACGTAAAAAATTATAAATTATTCTGAAGACAAAATATATGGTAAACACACAGAAACTAATCCTTACAGTTAAATAGCCCATATAGAAAAGCTATATCATAGAAACTTCTAATGTAGTCAGTCTTTTTTACTACTATCAATATTTTGCTGCCCTGAGCAGAGCTGCATGTGCTGCACATGTCTAAATATGGCCCTGTCTGTATCTCTTAGCCATGTTTGTTTTAACTACAATACAGACAGACTGCAATGAAGCTATTTACCTCTATTTCTCAGTGCTCCAATATTATTTTGCTTAAACATAATTATCACAAGTAAGTGTCCAGAGTTCATAAGAAGACACAAACAAGAGCAGCACTGTAACCTACCACATAGATTAAATAGATAACTAAGGAGGGCTGGTGTCATGTCTGTTTTATTCTAGTATTTACAGTACATGTCTCCTTCCTTTCATGTCTGTGTTATTCTAGTATTTACGTACATGTCTCCTTCCTGTCATGTCTGTGTTATTCTAGCATTTACAGTACATATCTCCTTCCTGTCATGTCTTTGTTGTTCTAGTATTTACAGTACATATCTCCTTCCTGTCATGTCTTTGTTGTTGTTCTAGTATTTACAGTACATATCTCCTTCCTGTCATGTCTTTGTTGTTCTAGTATTTACAGTACATGTCTCCTTCCTATCATGTCTTTGTTGTTCTAGTATTTACAGTACATGTCTCCTTCCTATCAGGTCTTTGTTGTTCTAGTATTTACAGTACATGTCTCCTTCCTGTCCTGCCTGTTATTCTAGTATTTACAGTACAAGTCTCCTTTCTGTCATGTCTGTGTTTTTCTAGTATTTACAACAGTACATATCTCATTCCTGTAATGTCTTTCTGTGATGTCTGTGTTTTTCTAGTATTTACAACAGTACATATCTCATTCCTCTAATGTCTGTGTTATTCTAGTATTTACAGTACATGTCTCCTTCCTGTCATGTCTGTGTTATTCTAGTATTTACAGAACATGTCTCCTTCCTGTCATGTCCGTGTTATTCTAGTATTTACAGTACATGTCTCCTTCCTGTCATGTCTTTGTTATTCTAGTATTTACTGTACATGTCTCTTTCCTGTCATGCCTGTGTTATTCTAGTATTTACAAGAGTACATATCTTCTTCCTGTCATGTCTGTGTTATTCTAGTATTTACAAGAGTACATATCTCTTTCCTGTCATGCCTGTGTTATTCTAGTATTTACAAGAGTACATATCTCTTTCCTGTCCTGCCTGTTATTCTAATATTTACAGTACATGTCACCTTCCTGTCATGTCTGCGTTATTCTAGTATTTACAGTATATGTCTCCTTACTATCATGTCTGTGTTGTTCTAGTATTTACAGTACACATCTCCTTCCTATAGTGCCTATGTTATTTTAGAATTTACAGTACACGACTTCTTCCTGTCTTGACTGTTATTCTAGTAGTTACAGTACATGTCTCCTTCCTATAGTGCCTCTGTTTTTCTAGTATTTATAGTACACGTCTCCTTCCTGTCCTGCCTGTTACTCTAGTATTTACAGTATACCTCTCCTTTCTGTCATTCCTATGTTTTTCTAGTATTTACAGTACACGTCTCCTTTCTGTCATGCCTCTGTTATTCTAGTATTCACAGTATAACTCTCCTACCTATCGTGCCTCTGTTATTATAGTATTTACATTACATTTCTCCTTCCTATAGTGCCTATGTTTTTTTTTAGCTTTTACAGTACGAAGTGCAGTATTAACATAGTTTGCCTTAATGATCTTTGCTCACAAAGTTGGCACTTTGATCAATTCTTATTCTTCTTTTTCCACCAGCTGTAAGCTTCAATAAAAAGGCCTGGTCGTTCGTCCATTTAGACTCTGACTTTGTGTCACGGCCTGAGTATTGTGCATACATCCCTTTTACTGGCTTATTTGTGCGCACTGCTTGTTTCTTGCTGCTTGGGCAGTTCACTCCCACTTCGGTTGACTCCTACAACACGTTTGTTAGGCAGGCAGTGGTTCTATTCTTGTTTTCCCCATTATGGGGCTACAGAACCAAGATAAAGATCTGATTAATTAGTATTGAGGGGTGACCCATATTGGAAAAGACACTGATCACTGAAGAACAACAAGAATTAGTTCAGATCAACATTTATGAACTAATGTCAAATCATACTGCTGCAAGGAGACTAAACACACAGAATGACTAAAACAAATACCAATTAACTACAATCACTCAATAACTGGTGACTGAAAAACAGAGTGAATTAAAGTGTATCACAATCACTAAAGTTGAGCTCTGGACAGAACTAACCAAATTCATGTGAATCAAGAGGTCAGGAAAGGACACTAGCGTTGGATAGGACAGACACTGAGAAAATATTATAACTTTATCATCACTGCAATTGACCCACATATTTAAAGGAACATAGGTAGGGATACACCGCCCCCTTTTCCCCAAGAGTCAGAGAATGTGGTGAACAGATGAGAAAACTTGGAGTGTGCTGTGATGACAGGATGACTTGGGGAAAACTAGCTGAGGATGTATGCTCAATTGAAAGATAAACGTTCACAAGAAAATGAAGAACACTTACGATAGTGTCTGAAAGCGTCTTCAAATGTCCTGATAGGATTTGGAACACAGTCTGATTCTCCATCTGGGGCATCCACAATGATGTTGTTGTTTTCCTTGCTGTGGATGCAAACAGGTATACATTAAATGAGTTGAGTTAAGAATTAATGTCGCTGAACTCAGGGCATTCCCATGTGTGTTCCATCCTCATCTTCAACAGCCAGCGCAGATTTAAAATACTAATGGTACTGGTCATAATCTGGTTATATAACTGTCTGGTTAGACCAAGGTGCCTCATTCACTCCAGATCATAATAATCTTGTTTCTCCTCTGACTCCTTTGCTTGTTCCCATCTGACCATATCTGCCTTGACATGTATCAATTTCGCACCCAGTGGTGCAGATCCAGCCAATCTTTCTGCCTATTCATTCCCCAACACGCCGGCATAGCCTGGGGTAAAGATACAAAGTATGCTAACTACCCGTGGCCTTCCCAGTAAAGCTTGCCACTCTGCTCGAGGCATCCCTGTCTTCACTTTTCTCACATGCTTTCAGAGTCTGTTACAGTTACTAAATGTGTAAGGTCTTGTTCTCTAGCCACTGGAAAGCAACTGTTACTGCCTCTGCCTCCATTTTCATGCTAGATGTTGTGGTCTCGTATGCTAGACTGTCTAGCACTAAAGATTTTCCATTTGCTTTTACCATGAACCGCCAGGCACTTTTCTTCCCTCTCAACACCAAACTATCTGTAAAGATAGTCAGATCATCTGGGCAAGAATTGTCGTGAATCAACTGTTGGACTTCCACCTCTGTAGCACCCGCTGGCCATTCTCTGCTGCCAAACAGTGTGGAGTTAACAACTGACATCAAAGCTCGTGGAGAATTCCCATAAGTGCTTAGTCCCTATCTTCAACAGCCAATACAGAGTTCCAACAGTGCTAGCACCCAGCAAGCTTTATTACTTTAACTCCTTCTATCCTTAGAAGTTGTTACTTTAGGTAATCAACGTCTGGGTCTAAGTAATAAAAATAGCAGTACGGTGGGACTGAAGAGTTAAAGTAAGAACAGGACTAAGGGGCTCAGAAAAGTTCACCATGTCAGCAGAAACCAGTTAACAAACATAGTGAGCTGCTTAGTGTCAAAAGAGTTACATTCCATGTGTGGGTTCTGAGGCCCCAATCTGAGGGGAAGAACACACCCACTGCCTAAACCTCCATCCCGAAAATTATGTTGCAAAATGCAACTACCTCCTATCTCTACTTCTTTCTTCTACACATTACGAGTTCTGATCAATACTTGTGTATGTGTTTCACATACATTTATTTTAACACTGTAAGCAACAAAGATGAATTACAATAAGAAGATTTTTAAACAATATTTACCTACCGTATTTGTCTGACTTCTTCATGAGACATATTCTTAATGTGTGGTTCTTCCTTATAAAAATCTTTCAATATTTTAGGCAAACCTGCGAGACATAGATTGTGAATCAATTACTTGCAATGGAGTTTACGACTGGTTTAGATTTAGGCGACGGATCAACATCAAGGCACAAGGGTAGTAATAAGTGTTCCGTTCTACTTCTGACTCAAGCCTGAGTCTGAAAATATCAGTGCAGTGCACAAACTCTGTAGCAACTGTGAGGATCCTGAAATACTTTGGGTCGATTTTTAACTCAAAATTTTTGCCCAGGGAGCACAGTTAGGGTACTTTATTTCGAGTTCCAACTGCCAAGGGATTTTTTTTAATGTGCATAACAATACACATGGGTGTCCTATCTTACTACCCAGAGATCAGGGAAAATTACTAGAAGTCCGCGTGAAAAAATTCCAGCCTTCACCGGGGTCTCCAAGCACTCGAGACCATGCACCACCCCCCCCCCCCCCAGTTTACAACTGGTTAACACTAAGAAACAGAAGATCAGGGCATTCCCACAAACACTCCATCTTCAATAGCCAGCACAGAGTTTCAATAGTACCAGTTACAGTTATATTATTTCTTCACTTTGCCTTTCCTGTAAGCATTGATTATCTGCCAGATCCTATGGTCACTCTACTTTACATAATTCTTTGCAGATCATGGTGATCTATTCAATCTGAAGACAGACATATTAATAATGCCTCATAGATTTGTGCGACAACTATATCTAACCATTTCTCACTGACTGGTCACTTCAGACTGACCGCTGTACATTACCTTATCACAACAAGCCCCGATCATAATCATGTAGCAACCTTGATATGGTTCCAGTGCAGGCTGTACATGCTTTCACAAGAAAATATGAACCAGACCTGACTACATCCCAGACCTGACTACATCCACTGGTGTGTGTATAAACTACAAGATCCCAACCCCATCTTTACATCCTGACCTCAGCCAGTATTATACTAGCTACCTTGTTTGCATCACCCTTGTACTTGAATTTCCCAGATCTGCAACCTAAAACCAACTAAACTGGTGACCTTGGATTCATCTTAGCACCTGACACACACCCCCCCCCCCCTCCCCCCAACTCAGACCAATCCTGACTGCCAATCCAGCACTGATATTTGCATATTGTACTTGACTCTACCGTCACCAGTGCCTTACATTATCACCTTCCTACCCAGACAACTCCATGATAATTAATAAAATGCATAATTAATTAATTTTTTTGAGGTTAGTTGCATATCCTTTACATAGCATTGCAAGCCAACTCAAGCATTTATTGGCTGTTGGGGGTTTACTAGGCAATTTTTACATCCAACAGTGTACCATTGCTCACTGCACTGGTGAGCAATCTATACCATGGTTGAGATCAATGCAAAGCAGGCTGAGCCAAATTGCCAGCAGCTGGAATCCAACAGAGTAATCATGTTTTCAAAATATTTTTTTTAAAAACCTCTACATAAAACATTACAAACAATCTTCTCAGAAACCCTTTTCAATGCGTTTTCTCTCGCAGCAGGTTTTTGGAATTGGGGGAGGGAGGGACAAATAGAGCAACTGCTCATCAACAAACAAGTAAAAGGTGTGTGCTGAAATCAGATGTGTTGGACACTGAAAGGTGCAGATACCACAGCCTACCAACCCCATCATTTTAAGTGCGAACAATAAAGAAGAATGAACAATGTCTTTTTTGTTGCAAACATTTTGTTGTCCTGAATTCACGTCCACTGAGAAGTACATAACCTTTTAATTAAAGGTTTATCGTCCTCTTTTTAGGTTTACCAGCTGCAGACTCTGATGGTAAGTTCTGGTTGTTCATCCACTTCTGGACTTTGATCTCATTCCAGAACTTATGTTTTGGATGTACATCTGTTTTACAAAACTATATTGTTGCTTTTTACTCACATTCGTTATCGACACATTAACTAAATAAAATAACCAAACTACTGAATGTCAAATTTGCTTAGAAAGACCACAACAGCCAACAAAAAATGCTTGGTTTGGTTCTGCAACTTCCTGTAATGGATACGCAACTAACTTTTTAACTGAATAATACACTGATTTTGTTTTCTCCCACCAAAAAACCTATTTGTAAATAATCCGTTTATTCAAAAACAATTTTTACTTACTTAACAGCCTGTCTTTGTCATATTGCTTCTGCATCTCTCTCAGATGATTCCAGTTGATCAGTGGGCGCTTCTTAACCTCTGAGACATACTCTTCTTCCTCGTCTTTATTCTGCACCGGAGAATCTGCTGTCGTAGTAGGGCATACAATAAATCAATTGCCTGCCCTGGTGGGTATGTAGGAGAATAGTTTTCTTCAGTGTAAGTCTTTCTTTGACTGATTCTATGTGACATGTCTGTTGTGTTGTGGGACATGTCTGTTGTGTTATGTGAGATGTTGGTATTGTGTGACAATGTGCACATGACTGTTAACTTTACATACTGTAAGTACTCATTTATACATTCTGAGGCATACTGGGCACACAATACCGAACCCATATTTTTTATACATGAGTAATTGTTAACTGGTTATCCAGTCATACAAAGAAGGCTACCTTTACATCTGAGGACACTTCATGGTACATACTTTGACATGGGAACCTAGAATAATTTTTTTAATCTACCTCAGTGAGATTTCAAACTTATTACTTCATTTTAAGATAAAAGACAAATAAACAACACAATAATTATTAACAATTATTTCATTCTCTCACCCTATCTACTTTACTGCTAATCTGTCAGTCATCACAATGGTATGCTTCTTAGTAACTAAAGTAGAGAAACTTCTGCAGTCTTTTTAAAAGCTTTCCTTAAAAAAGAAAGGATATCTGGCAATCCATGCAATTCCAAACCTGAACAAAACTGTTCTGTGACAATCTTAGTCACAGGCCAAAGAGAGCTACTATATAAATATTACAACTTGCACTTACATGGTGCTTTTAAATGCTTCATTTCAAGTGAACAAACAAACAATAAAATGCTTCATTTCAATTGAACAAACAAACAATAAAATGCTTCATTTCAATTTAACAAAGCAGCAACAGTTCTCCATTTTAATGATTAGCTCACATCTAGTGTTGATGATTACTTTATAAATTATAATAATGTTGTGACTCATGACTGATTTAGACTGAATGTGAGTGTTTTATCCTTTATAAAGAAATTATCACACATTTACAAAATAAGTTACGATCAATGTATCACAATCTTCTTCTCAATGTCTTCCAGATGTAAAATCCGGCAGATAATTCTGGTTATCTGTCCACTTCTGCACTAAGGTATTGTCCCAAAGCTTGAGTTTTACTTGCACATCGATTTTATAGATCTGGCTTATTTGTGTGTAGACTGCTGGTTCCTCAACTCCCATGCAGAAGTATGAGTTTAGCCTTCAAAAGAAAACAGTTAGCTGCGTATCCTTTACAGAACGGTGAAGAGCCAACCCCAGCATTTTTTAGCTGTTGTGGTTTTTCTAGACAAATTTTACGCCCAGTAGTTTGCCACTGCTTTCTGATTCGTCAGGTCTCGGTACCATTGTCAAAACCTATGGAAGACAAACCCCCCGCAGCTAGGATCGAACCCGTTTGCAACACCTAAACCACAGACGCCGACCTTCAAAGGAAACACCCTTAATTCAGTTGACTTTTACAACATGCTTGTTAAGTGGCCGTGGGCATGTTCTTGCTTTCCCTAAAATAGGGTGATGAACCCATACACTAACATTAACTTATTATGATAAAACAATCAAATCATTCTCCAGTGGATCCCGGCTCACTACGGCATACCAGGAAATGAGTTAGCAGACAGACTTGCAAAAAATGGAACAACAAAGAAACAATATGTCCATTCATTGTCATTACCAGAAATCATAACACTTCTCAAAGAAAAATACAAGGAATTGTGGAGAGAACAAACTAACAGTAAACATCCACAAGACCCCATCAGCAGACTGAACAGAAAGCAACATACAACAATTTCCTGTCTACGAACAGGATACTGCAGGCTCAACTACTAAATGCATAAAATAAAGATTGTACAGTCCCCACAGTGTGTCTGTCAAACAGGACCACAAACACCTCAGCACATTCTGCAGACCTGTTCACTCTAACTACAACTTCAAATAGACACCAGGCCTCAAGAGCAAACTGTGCAGAGCAAGCTATGGGGAACCATGAAGGACCTGCTACTGACATGCGAGTTCATAGAGGCAAACCACCTGATGGTCTGATCTGAGCTTACGAAACCTAACACAAAGAAAAAGAATCATTTTCATTTGTGCCACCAGCAAGCTTCAACCACACAAGAACACCAAAATTTACCATAAACTCAAACATGCTGACAACTGATTATAATTTGCTTGTTAAGACTCAATACGTTACTGACCATGGCCAGGACTGCTCTCATTAACTATTTCCACTCCAGTCTCTTGAATCAGACGTTTTGCATCAGCTACTGCACTCTTGCTTCCAATTAACTCTATTGGGCTCTGATCAGATGATCCACAAGTTCGTGACACCTAATGTAGCAAAGGAATTATTTTAGTTCTTGCAAGCAGTTAACACACAAAAATATCAAAGTAATATTTTCTTGCTGTCGATTTAAATTATAACAAACAATATATGGCATAATTGATCACAGCACATAGTCCCGCAGTATTTCGCCTATAACAAAATTTATATCAACATATAAAGTACAAAATCTTCTTCAGCATTCTAAGCTCTTGAGGTTCGCTGCTGAGAATATCACCTGTCTCTAATCATCTCTGTGATTGGTCTTCACATTCCAGTTGGAGTTATCCTCTGGGTCTTTTTAAAAAGAAGTTTTTGTATCCCTGTTTTCATGCAGCCCATTAGTTCTCAGATTGCCAGTAATTAGTGGTGGTTCAAACAGATAATGTTATAATTTTGTGTTTGCTTCTCATTGATCATTATCTGCTGTTTGCAACTTTGATTGGTCCAAAGACTCACTGTAAGACTGTATTTGTTTAAAGACTTATTATAAGACTTCATCTCTTTTAGTTGTACTCCACGTTTCAGAGAAATTTAAGACAACTGGTCTTGTAAGTGTTTTATATATTATAATCTTGGTGTTACATGAAAAAACATTTGGATTTAGCACACAGTGTTAAAAATATAATTATTACTAATTTAATTCAACATGCATAATGTTTAAAATATAACTGCTGTGTTAAGGAGAGTGATTAGTAAGACCAATTATAAGATGTGCTTGTGTGCCCAATGTGTGACCATTTAAAAAAAAAAATCAGCAGCTGATGTAAATTCTGTAGCAAAAATCTAATGAGATAGTGAAATATGTTAACAATAAACACTTGAGTAGGGCGATTCAGCTAAGTTAACTTAGGGGCCAAAATGTTAAAAATGGGAGCTATTGCAGGCCAGAGGCCCTAGCCCCCATCATAGTAGTGATCATGAATACAACTGGCAATGATGCGTGGGCCACTTGCTAGGCTCTCTGCGGGTTGCATCCTGCAAGCGGGCCGCATGTTGAATAGCCCTGCCCTAGAGTAAACTGTAAAAATATTATATGTTTCAACACTTATTTTCATCTTCTCCATGAGGTTTCCGAGGCCCTATTATCGAAAAAGAAAAGAGACAGAGTACCCCTAAACAAACATGTCACAAAGGCGATTAATTAGGGGTGGCTTAAATCAGATGTGTTGGACAGAAAGGTAGAAATATAGCAGCCAAGCAGTAAACCACAACACAATGCGCCAGTCATCCTTTTCATGGTGAACGCATAAGATATTATTCTCATAATCCATGCCATGTAGCATTGGTAATAATTTCTATTCACTGCCCATTGTCACATGTCTTTTCCCATCCAGACCATAGCCTTGGTGAGTCTCCCTTCTCATACGCTGCCAATCATTTCTGATACTGGTGTTCTTCTATATTAAGATATAAAACTGTCCAGCATTTTCAGTCTTCATCTTCCTCTCTTTCCTACTGACACAAAGAACTGCAGTTTTCCCCTTTCTCACTACAAAATACTGTGATAGGCAATTGTCTGTCTTTCATAATTATAAGCTGTGTCAAATCTGTTGACTCATACGTTTCATTTATCAAGAGACAATAACTGTAAAATACAGTATTTACAAGTGTGTAAGCCACACTGTTTCTGAGACTGTATTTTAGGGAAAACAATTTTCTTAGAATTTTGTTGAGACTGTGAGCAGTGAAAGATAGGTCAACCGTGCAGCTGGGGGAAGTCTGATGTGGATGAGAAACATGTGCAAAGATGGACTGGAAGACGCTCCTAAAAAAACATTCCAAAGTCAACAATCTGCTGGTGGCAAGAAGGTGAAATACCCGTCAAGAATATGTCAAGAAAATACAAGCATTTGGATTTTCTGTGCCTTTGAAAATGTCAGTATTTCTCTGTTCCATGTCCATTGCTGCCATAATCTTGAGAGCCTTGGGTTTTTTTTGGCATTTGACCACAACTGCCTCAACGTGATCCCTGAAGGACAGGCTTCTATCGAAAGTGATACCCAGGTACCTAAGTTTTGTTTTCTATTTTGATGTTACTGTTATTAACTGTGAGGTTTGGAACATCAGCTCTTACAATTCTAGTGTCCAGAGAGCACCACAAAACAGCCGCCTTTTCTGAGTTGATGACAGCCTCCATTTTTGCACACCAGTCAGTCACTTTCTCTACTATTGCCTGCAGCTCTTGAGCTATCCGTTGTCTATCATTCCCTTGCTTATATGCAAGAACATCATCAGCAAATGTCAATATCCTTCCAACACCTGGTGCTTCAAGTTCTGCAATCTTGCTTGTATACACATTAAAGAGCACCAGGGAAACTGCAGAACCCTAGGGTAGTCCCTGAAGGATGGCAGAGTACCTAAGGGCATCCTTTATGGTGAATTAAAGACGGGTAGAAGATGTACAGGCCAACCTCTACTGCAATATAAAGACATGTGCAAGTGGGATATGAATGATGCAGGTATTGAGGTGGACTCGTGGGAACAAAATGCCATGAACCATGTTGTGTGGAGGGGGCACATCAGGAAGGGAATGAGAATGAAGGAAGAACTGATTGCAGTAAGGACGAGGCCTAAACGTCTGAGAAGAAACACAAAAAATGTTCACAATAATGGTCCTGAAATCCCATGCTGTAACTGTGGTAGACTTTTCATAATGTGGGCGGGTGTTGCTAGTCACACTCGCCATCGCCATGGGCTGTGAGCCCCATGCCTCCTCATAGCGCAATATAACACTATCGTCTGGAAAGACAGAAAGGTGCCAATTATACATGCGAAAATATGGTATGCTCCTGGTAAAAAAAATTACATGATTTGTGTTTTTTTTTTAAATTCTGACACAATACAACCGAATACCTTAATCCTGCATCCACTGTCTGCCTCCAACTGTCTGATAGTGTTGCCACCACGGCCTGAAATATATTTTAAAGAAAATAGATACAAAGAAACAAACAGTGACAGACTACTGCTATTTGGTTCAGAAACATGACTGGAAGCTAAAATAATTACTAACAAATAAACTACTACATTTCAACTGCTAGTGCCAGCACAGAACAGGGCTAAAATGGCATCACAAAATCCCCCACGAAGTGCCTGAAGAGAGATAAACAAATCCTTGCAAACAAATATTTGAGAAAAAGATGCTTGTGCTGTCTAGGGCCCATAGTGAAAATGCTTTTTCTAACAGCAGAACTAAGAAATAGCTGGAGACCAAAAACCACAAGAAGACAATCATAAGCAGCTGTAAATAATATGACACAACTTGTAGATAGCAAACAACAGGAGGGCATGCAGTAAGTCTATGCTCCAATGAAAAAAAAAAGGGGGGGGGGGGAGAGTGGGAATGGATGGGGTGAATAAATGCAAAGTAAGAAGTCCCAGTAATGTTTCTCAATAAATGTTTGACTGTAGTTTGAGAACAGATACATGCTGCTTTAAATAACTAAGCGCCCAGCTCGCTAGCACAGTTGGTTAAAACCCTTTGCAAGGCGACCAGGCGACAAACTCTTTGTGGTCTGGGTTCATGCCCAGAGGTGGGCAGAAATGCCACATTTCTCCCAGATTTATGGTATCTCTCATGTAATCAAGGCCGAAGGATTGCGATATCCATAGTTCGAGCCAAATGGCTTACAAGTCATGGTTTCTGGATGCTAAAAAAAAAAAAACACACACAAGAACACAGTTTTGGGAAAAGGTGCTGGAAAAATAAGAGGGGGGTAGGAAAAAAGGGGGGGGGGGGGTTAAGGATCATCTGTGAACTCTAATGCATTTTCTACCTTGACGTTAATTTCACTGAGACTGTTTTTGACGCCGTCGTTCCATACCTGTGTGGTGCTCCTATTGTTCTGTTTCCATTATATTTCTTCGGCATGGTTCTCTGTGGCAGTTGGTATATGGGCATTCTCGTCAGATGGTCAAACCATCTCATATGTTACTCTTTTAATAAAATGTATGACTGATTTTCAATCCAGTGTCTATTTCTTTCATTTTATATTTTATAATTTCTTGTTATTTTGATAGCTCTTATAAGACATCTTTTCGCTGCTCCAATGTTTGTTCACATATTATTCAGTAATAGAAAGACAGAAAATGACTACATTTACTGCTCTGGAGTAAATGACTGTGGGGAAAAAAAACATACCAGTCAATAGGAGATATGTTCACCGACAATGACACTTTAAAGAGTGAAAAATAAGTGATTTATGTAATGTTCCAGTACGTAAAGTGCTGTCAAATATCTAGTTAATAAATATATTAGCATGAGATTTGTCTGATGTCACAATATGTACAGTGTTGTCAAATGTCTAACTCATAAATCTACTTCTGTAAGATTTATCTAATGTTACTGTATATTTAGTGTCATCAAATGTATAGCTCAGAAAAATACTACTGTGAGTTGTGTCTGATGTTACTGTATGTACAATGCTCTCAAATGTCTATTTCAGAAATATACTTCTGTATGTTTTATCTCATGTTACAGCTCGTAAAGTGCTGTCAAATATCTAGTTCATTAATATACTACCGTGAGAATTGTCTAATGTCACTGTATGTACTGTGTTATCAAATGTCTACTTTGTATTTCTAGTTCAGAAATATGCTAACAAGTGTTATTAACACCATATAACTAAGTAAAGCAGAATCTAACCAAACCTATCATTTTTCCAACTTCAGAAGACATCACGTATATAGTTTCACTGTCATCAACTGCGAGCCTGTCTCCTCCAGAACCATGGCTTCCTGAAAAAAGGAACGACACAAGAATACAATAGCTGGATAACATAAATCTGTTAATTATGCCTAGATTTCTGTGTGACTTTTGCGAGTCAATTTCAGTGAGCGTCATTTACAATTCAACGATCCTTGTGAAATAATGTTTGATGTAGTGGACAGTATACGCACGCACACATATACATAAATCTTTCTCATTGTTTTCAGACAGCAGTACTTTTTTCGTTCAACCGAGTGACGCAAATGCATAGTGCTTGTTTACAGCAGAGCTGTGATATTTGCGCCTTTCGGCCGACACATCCAACTTCTTTGAGTATTTGTGAACTGAGTTAACTTCCTGGATAGTTTCAAGGGACAAGCTATTTGTGTTCTATTTGTACCCCCATCTTAAGAGAAAGTAGTATAAGAGTCGCACCATGGCACAGATAGTGGCCTCGCCAATTAATGTTCACAAAAACAGCAATGGGTGCCACGTAACAAACCTTTCCTGTTAAATTTACAATATTTAGTGGCAGTAATTTTGGAAAGGTCTACGGAATTTGGTTTTAGCCATGGTGAAAAAGTGTATAAATCCAGAAATGTATACAACAGTGCACACAGAGACCAGAAGCTTGATGACAAATGGGGATGTCATGAAGAGAAGGAACAAGGTAAGTTTGGGGGTCTTCAGTTGTTGTTGACATGTGTTGGGATGTTAGATTTGTTTCCTGGACATCTAACTAGTGATAGCCAAATGTCTGTTCTTTTTAGACCTCACAGAGGTAGGTGACAAAGGAAAGAATTCCAAATATGACTGAGTGATTACACGCGACATGCAAGTAAGGAATGAGTTGATATGCATGAAATTGTGAGCGAAAGTGGACAACCATGAGACTTGGGTAAAATATGTGTTAGATTCAAGATGGGTAAATACATTTTGAGGCACTGTGGCCAAAAGATATATAAAGTGGATGATAAGGACTGCATGAGTGGAAAATGTGCTTTTATGATATTTCATAAGTTGCTGTATTAGAAAGATGGCAAGAGATAGGGTTAGTATATGACTTTGATGAATAAAGTGAGTGAGGGATACGTTATCAGTGACTATGTTACTGATATGTTGACTTGATATATGTGGAGGAATGGCGAGAAGAATATACTCCAGACCATACCCTTACGGATACACTATAACTGTGGTGCTGAAAACAGCAGACGGCAGGCAGTATTCCAGATTAGCAGTAGATGAGAGCCTTAAAGGCTCTGCATTCTGGGAACTGAACTGTCAAAGTATGCAAATTACGTGTAAACTATTCTAAATTGTTGAAGAAGATGGTTGTTGCAGACAGTCAATAAACTGAACTTCTACCCGTGTGACATGAACTTCTTTTATTGTAGTAGATCGGTGTTTAGTTCCTGTTCTTATCTATTATATCAATCAATCGATCAGCAGGTCCTTTAAAGACAAGCACTCTCTTCACTGCAGGAATGAAAGTTTCTCTTTCTCTAGACATTTTTCCAGCCCTGTATCCGCTTTTGTGGAAGTCAGACTCTGGCTTGTTTGCTGAAAACTGAACTCTCCATGGCGTTTGACCCCAAGTTTCTGGTCAGGGCATCGTTTATGAGGTCAGCTGAATAATCTTAACGACATTTATGATTTGGTCGCTCTAACAGCTAACCTATTTTCAGTTTGGTAGCAAAATCAAATACTTCCTGTAGAATTTAAGAAAAAAGTATTCTGTTTTCTCATAATATGGGTATGTCAAACTACATAAAGACTAGGAATGTGTTGAAGTCTCTTTGATATTCAACCTGACACCTCACCATACGTAACTGTTTAAATTGAAATGGGAAGGTCCTAATCATATTTTATCATGGATTCCTGGTAGCCATATTAGACTAAGTTGACCTGGAAGTCCAGGTAAACAGTGAATAACAATTACCTCAATGAGGATTCAAACAAACAACAACCTTGCCAGCAACTGAGTGTCTGTGTCTCCTTACATAAAATGTATAATCAATTTTATAGTAAACTATACTGATTCATAATCATACCTTTTTCATAATCCTCCTGTCTTCCCCTTCTGTCCCCATCACGTGGTTTTCCCTGGTTTCTGTGCTGCCTGTTGGAAGGTCCTTCACCTCTAGAACCATACACACGGCCACCACCGAACCCTCCACGACCTCCACCAGTACTACTGCTAGTGATGTCTGCTGTAAAGTAAACCAACATTTATTCAGGAACTGTCCTTCAACACCAATGTCTCAGCACTGTGGACATGTTGACTGTGTGTGCTCCATCCCTCTTAAAAAACGGTTAAGGACAATTATATCTGCAATGGCTAGATGTGCGCATCTCTGATTCATTCTCTACCATGATCCTTCTTTTAAAAGATGCTGTGGTCAGTGTCAAGCCAGTTGCCACTCAACTCACCATGTGGTTGTGTCAAGCCAGTTGCCACTCAACTCACCATGTGGTTGTGTCAAGCCAGTTGCCACTCAACTCACCATGTGGTTATGTCAAGTCAGGTGGCATACAACTGATGTCATCAGTGTCAAGCCAGTTGAAACTCAACTGATCATGTGGTTGTGTCAAGCCAGTTGCCATTCAACTGACCATGTGGTTGTGTTAAATCAGGTGGCTTTCGACTGATGATGTCATCAGTGACAAGTTAGGTGGGATTCAACTGATGTTGCCAGTGTCAAGCCAGCTGGTAACTGATTGATGATGTGATCAGTGTCAAGCCAGTTGGCAACTGACCGATGATATAGTCAGTGTCAAGCCAGTTGGCAACTGATTGATGATGTGGTCAGTGTCAAGCCAGTTGGCAACTGACCGATGATATAGTCAGTGTCAAGCCAGTTGGCAACTGATTGATGATGTGGTCAGTGTCAAGCCAGCTGGCAATTGATTGATGATGTGGTCAGTGTCAAGCCAGTTGGCAACTGACTGATGATGTGGTCAGTGTCAAGCCAGTTGGCAACTGACTGATGATGTGGTCAGTGTCAAGCCAGTTGGCAACTGACTGATGATGTGGTCAGTGTCAAGCCAGTTGGCAACTGACTAATGATGTGGTCAGTGTCAAGCCAGCTGGTAACTGATTGATGATGTTGCCATTGTCAAGAAGGCTGGCAACTGATTGATGATGTGATCAGTGTCAAGCCAGTTGGCAACTGACCGATGATATAGTCAGTGTCAAGCCAGTTGGCAACTGATTGATGATGTGGTCAGTGTCAAGCCAGCTGGCAATTGATTGATGATGTGGTCAGTGTCAAGCCAGTTGGCAACTGACTGATGATGTGGTCAGTGTCAAGCCAGTTGGCAACTGACTGATGATGTGGTCAGTGTCAAGCCAGTTGGCAACTGACTAATGATGTGGTCAGTGTCAAGCCAGTTGGCAACTGATTGATGATGTGGTCAGTGTCAAGCCAGTTGGCAACTGACTGATGATGTGGTCAGTGTCAAGCCAGTTGGCAACTGACTAATGATGTGGTCAGTGTCAAGCCAGTTGGCAACTGACTAATGATGTGATCAGTGTCAAGCCAGCTGGCAATTGATTGATGATGTGGTCAGTGTCAAGCCAGTTGGCAACTGACTAATGATGTGGTCAGTGTCAAGCCAGCTGGCAACTGACTAATGATGTGGTCAGTGTCAAGCCAGCTGGCAACTGACTGATAATGTGGTCAGTGTCAAGCCAACTGGCAATTGATTGATGATGTGGTCAGTGTCACAGTAAGGACAACACATGTCAACAACTTTAGATTCTCAAACTTACCTTGTTCCTCCTCTTCATGCCATCCCCATTTATCATCAAGATCCTGGTTCCTGTGTGCACTGTTATATACATTTCTGGACTTATACACTTCTTCACCATGGCTAGAACCAAATCCTCTAGACTTTCCAACATTGCTGCCACCAGAGACAACTGTTGAAATATAAATATTGAACCAACTGTACTTATACTGTACTAATTACAAAAGCAAATAAAGTTTAAAAGTTTGAAGTTAAAAGGCTTGATTTTACTGCACCGGGTGTTATTCCATATGGCCCCTTTCTTTAAACAACATCTTGCTGCTCATAGTCATACAAAGTCATTAACTCTGTAGCTGCAGTGATGATCGTGGGGGGGATGTCTGAAAAAATTACAGTTATGAACCAAAAGACAGTCGGTAAATGAACCCATGACCTTCAGAAATCGAGGCAAGCAGCTCCACATTTTAGCCAGTCACCCCCAACAAAAACAAATAATCACCCACAAAAGGTAAGTTGCATGTCATTAACAGGGCATTGCAGAAACAATTCTAGCATATTCTAATTCCTACTCTATCTTCGTGGACAATGAAAAAGGTATCAAGCACAGTGCAGGCACTCCATGGCTCCAACGAGGTAGCAAGCAGGCTCATGGATTGGCTGCTGCTCCTCATGGCAGTGAGCTAATATATGATAAAGCAGCGTATGTGGTGATGGCTCAAAGGGATCAAATGGACAGTGCAAAAGAACAAACTGGGAATCCGTATGTTGAGCATTCCAATTGTCATGGGCTGCCACTTCCAGAGATCGACAGGTTGCCCACATCTCTGGGGATCGGGATGGCCAAACAAATAGGTGGATTTTTTCACCTTGACACATTAGACATCTTTAACATTGTTTTATCTGGAGAAGTAGCAAGACATTATGGCAAAAGCATGTATCTGGCATGTCTTAACCGTTCTAGGTCCCACACTCTGGCGAGTGTGGCCAGTGGTAATGGACATATGAATCTTTCTGCCAATTAGTAGGACTTTCTTGTTTGGACATTTGCTATAGGACATGTATCAAGCAGACATTTATGCCAAGCCAGCACACTGACAGTGGCTGGTTGGCTTGGTGTGACTGAAAGTGGTGTCGACGACGCCATGGAACAGCAAGGGATGGATGAGGACAGTACTGTTTCACAAGTTTCCGCCGGCAAGAGTTGTTTCTCATCTAGGATGCGAGCAAATCTCTTAATGTAGGGCTGAATCTCAGCAGTACAGTAGTTCTTCCCACTCTGCAGATGTTTTAACCGAGGGTTGTCATTTAGTAGTATGTTCGGCTAGCAGAATTTACCCAACTTCCAAATGAGTGTTGATAGACGTTTTCACCCATGCACTGGGGGTGGGCTGATGTAAGCCAGACTAGAAACTACATCTCACCAACTCCAAGATCCCCTGCCAACTTGGTTCAAGTCACAAAGGTGAGCCATTATCCGTGGCGCATGACATGGACATACAGCAGGAGTCTTGCATGAGGATCCGTAAAACCATCCCAGAGCTAGCTGGCGCCCAAGGTGAGGTATGGAGTAACTCCTTATACACATCACAACGGCCTTAACTTTCTCTCACGCCTGTGATTGATATCACAGCACCATGTTTGTCAAGTTGCAATGAACACATCTTTTCTGTTAAACCAGCACTGTTGTCACTCTATCCCTTAGGGAGTTCACTCCAGCTGTTTCAGCTTGGAGAACAGCTAACATCTCAAGCAGGCATGTTGGGAGAGTATGGTGCCTGAAGAATCAGGGGAATATTGTGCGTTCAAGAGATGTCATATATCATTCAATTCTGTAAGTGCAAGAAACAATTAAAAAAAAGGCTTCATAATTGTACCTTTATCATCATCCTCACACCTGCCCCAGCTATCCCCATTGTCCTGGTGTCTGGGGAGTTCCTTGTTATATCCTTCCCCTCCAGAACTATACACAGGTTTGCTATAGTTGTGGCTACCAGAAAATCCTCCACGTTTCCTACCTCTGTCACCCACACTGAAGTCTGTAAAAAAAAAAAATTGAAACATTATGCACAAAAAACTGAAACTTGATGTATTTAATAACTCTAAAAAGCCACAAACAAAACATAAGAAATGAGGTTATTTACAATGAATCTTCAAATTTTGGCATGGCACTTTCTTAGAATAGGAACCCATTGGGGGAAAAAAGATGCATTGAGGGATTTAAAAAAATGTGTAATTAAAAAATAGGTTAACGTGAAATCTGCTGTAACAAGCAGCTCTTAAAGTAAAAATAATAACTGAACTGATCCTGAAGTGAAGTCAATTATGTAGAATGGTTGTACAATTCATTAACCTTTCCTAATACAGGTAGATGCGAAGAACAGGAGGGAGGAAATACTTTGAGATTATAAAGATCATGCCATCAAGCATGCAGCTGGTTGTGAAGGAAAATTATGTCTGTACCCGCTGGTTTAGTAGGTGATGCTAATAGTACTATTGAATTAACTCTCTATAAACTTTTCAAATGTTAAAACTTTTAAATAGCACTGCAATTTCACAATGAAAAAATCCAGCAGATTCTCAATCCAAAAAAAAAAAAAAAAAAAAATTCAGCAGATTCTCAATCAACATGAAGTTTAATAGAAAAATAAATTTCAGAGGATCAACTTCAATGCATAGGCCAACTTCTACTTCTTCAATTTCACCAGCTGTAAACTCCGGCAAAAAGTTCTGGTTGTTCAGACATTCTGGTCTTTAGTCCTGTTCCGAAAACTGAGTGTTGCATGCACATCCATTTCACAGGTATGATACATTTGCATGCAGACTGTTGGTTCATTGCCTCTCAGGCAGATGTACTCCGACTGTGAGGGAAGCACCCAATTAATTGACTCTGACAACATGCTTTTGGGTAGGCAGTGGGTCTATTCTTGTTTTCCCCACAATGAGGCCCCAGAACCCATACAGGAACATATGCCAAATGCCGGCAGAGAGTGCCTTAGAAAGTATGAATCCCAGCAATGATCCTTAGGGATCTTCAGAAAAAGAAAAATCAAAGAAAAATGGCCATCTGTGTATCCATGTGCTGCAATAGTTGCATCTCTTACACATCCTCCACCTTTTCTCTTATGCATACTATAAAGTCAGAATGTGGTTCTCATAAATAACCATAGGAGTTGTGCATATGACATTTCCCCCATGCTTGCCTGGCCAATGTAAAACAAAAGTGAGAACACTGGACAGCCAATAGATTTCAGGCCCGCAGTGTACCGGAAATGACTGGAAACTTTAGTAGTGGCAAATCACATGCCTTTAAACTCAAAGATTGTTGTCCTTTCATCTCCCCACACTTTCCATGCTTTTCTAAGACCCTAAAGGTTTAGGTTGCGGTTCTAAGGTTTTTACTGGTTTCAAGGACTACTACGAGCTATGATTTACAATAAACATGGATTGTCGTGAGGTGAGCAGCGAACCCTACACAATGGAGGAGTCGCGACTTTGACTTCCCTCGCGCTCAGTAAAATTTCAAACTTAAACCCGTCCGGAAGGGTGTATACCCCTTATATTGATATGTACCTTTATCTGGTGATATATTCATTCCTAGACCCTCTAGTTGCTTTGATAAGTCTTTATTTTCAAACTTGCAACTATAGGTTGACGATTTCTGGTAATTTATTTAGAAATTCCTGTAAACCAGTTTACTCCTTGGGCAGGAATACAGGGGACTTCTTTCCTAGAGAGGCTAGTTTGGTTTTGAAAAAACATTCTTTCGCCTGATCCCAAAGTGTCTAGATGTGTATACAGTCTATGTAGAAATTGACGCATTCAAAGTTCCATTTCTATCTTGGAAGATTTCCTAAGCTTGGGTAAGTTGATTATAGTTTACGAGTACCATAATTGATGTCTTTTTAAAGTTGGTCACTGCTGCAGAGAGGGGAGAGTCAGCTGTATGATCACACAGAGTTGGGCCGTTCTTGATGTCCAGAGATCAGGCTCCGAACATTAAACCTTTCCCTGTGCAATCTAAGTAGTTTGTGCTCTACAGAACCCACACCATTTGTAAAGATATTAAACCCTACAAGTAATTATTCTCTGACTAGACAAGCGTAGTTTTGTGCCGCATTACAGAAAAAGGTATCTGGGTCATCTTTTAAAGTAACTGTGTGACGTCAGTGTTAGACGCTCTGAGTCGAAAGTGCATTTGACACAGATTCAGTGGGTGTGTAGTGAGCCGCCTGTGGAGACGTGGAATATATATATATATATATATATATATATATATATATATATATATATATATATATATATATATATATATATATATATATATATATATATATATATATATATATATATAGGTACCACTGTAAACATTGTATGCAGATGTGAGGGTGGAGAGAGGATGATCTATGTGTGGTAGTGTCTATCTATCTCCACTATATACCTTGTTTTCTATCTGTTGCACTATTTTACAGACAGGTAAATGAAAGGAGACATTGTCTCCTGTTCTTGAGAGTTACATTCTGAGGATTGGAGAAAGGTGACAGAGGTGAGATGAGCTGGTGTGTGAATAAGGCTGATTACTAATTCTGAGTTCTTTCCTGACAGGATGATACCTCCTTAGAGATCAGGCAGACGAATCACAGTCCAGCCAACATCCACCAACTCATACCATTCTGTACATCAAGCGTATCCAAGAGTTCTGTATACGGTGCCACTACCTCAACATGGCAAAAGCTTGTTTGTGAGTTCCAGGACCAGGTGACAATTGCAGACACCTATGTCATCAATCCAGAGAACCAGTCTTCAAGAGCTTGGTTGGGCTCTTATGCAGTTATTGTGTCATCACCTGTGAGACCGGCAGTGGGCATCACAGTCTCCTAGAGCTTTGTTGGGCTCCTATGAAGTTCTGGTGTCCTCGTTTGTGACAGTCAGCTTGTACCAGATCAAGTCGAGGCCCAACTACTGACTGAGTCAAAACTACAGTCGAATCACCATGGACTGAGGGGAGCATTGACCTACGAACTGGGCTAAGTGATCTTTTATTCACATTACATGCTCTCTTCCCACAGTACCTTATCAGTCCGATGAGGAACTCATGTACTCCTCAAGGCTACATCTGGCTGCTTTAATATCTGGGTTGTGTCATTGTTTCCTGAGCTCCATTCATTGACTCTTGTTCATCGATTCATTATTATATGTATATATTGTACTAATTACATGCACACATTTTCATGGCTGAATTGGGTGTCTCTATTTCACCATTCTAACTGTCCAGCTTTGATGTTAGTGTGAGTAATAAGTGTAATCTGTGTTAACATGATTATGTAGTATACTATCATAACCTGGGGGCTACCTTTTTATAGTAGTGGGGGTGTCCAGCCAAGTGTGCCTAGGAATATTATATATTTTGTAGTGCCAAAACTTGAGTTGCCCTACTCCTGAAATAAGTTGAGCGTATATTGGCCACGGGGCATCCCTTAGACCAATACGAGCCAACGACTCAACATAATTATTTCAGAATGCTGTTGGTTCTAAAGGAGAAATCCTTAAATCAGGCATGCGACAGGAGCGATATGTGACATGGATAAACAAATTACCTCTGTCATCATCCTCATTCCGTCTCCAGTTACTCTCACTGTCTTTGTGCTGGTTTTCCCCTTTATACCCTTCACCTCTAGAATTATATGAAGGTTTACTATGGCTGCGATCACCAGAAAATCCTCCATGCTTTCCACTGCTGTCATCTATACTGAAGTCTGTAAATAAATAGAAAATACAGTGAAATACTAGAAATATATGGTATATGCTAGTTCTAATAATCAAGAAAACAAAAGTACTGTAATATATGAGTTATGCAGAATCTATAAGTGCTGCTCATAGGACACAACAGTTAGCCCCACTGTTTTACATTACCCAAAATGTATGAAGACATGTAAGGTAAGATGCAATAAAGTATCATGAACAAGATTAAATCTGCTGAAGTGCCATAGCCTCTCCCCCTGCTGCCTTGCAGGGTAAGTCTCTTTAGACAAAGGCTACTGGAGTCAAACCATATACAAACTGGCAGGAGTCAAGAGGAAACTATCACTGTATTTTCCCTACAAAAATCATGCTTCAAAACAGGTGTGTCAGCTGATACATGCTGAAAGAGATCATAGATTATGGAGAGGCATGATAGCCAATGCCGGTTGGCAAGGCTCCTGATGATGATGATGTGCACACACATATGTATTAAAGTTCAGCTTGAATTATTTCCAACAAATTATATAAGTCATAGAATTGTGGGATGCAATTTTTAGTTACTTTGAAGCCCTACTCTGACTTTTGCCAGGGGCCCTAAATATAGCCGCGCCTGAAATATGACTTAACGTCTAAATGGGGTTTCTGAGACCTCCACAGTGATCCTCATCTGCATAGTGACACTTTGTGTCACCTGGTCTTTATCGCTTGTGTAATATACGGGTGGGGTACAACTTACATACATACATTTCCAAAATCTGCAGTAACACTACACCAAGCGAGAATTTTTGCAGTCGAATCAGATCAGTGCATGTGAGTATTCTTATGAAATACTAGCTGTACCTGGCCACGCGTTGCTGTGGCCCAGAATGGTGAAAAGGAGAGGAAAGAAAATAGCTCTCAGCTAACAGTGTCTGTCATACCCAACTCAACGCAGTCTTATTTCCCTCTCAGACGGATTGAAAAATAATTCATGGCGAAATTATTAAAATAGAAATAGTTATGAAATAAGAACTTTAAAATAATATTTTAAGCTCTCTCAGCTAACTGTGTTTGGCATAACACCCCCCCCCCCTCTTTCCACCAATCATATTTCCGTAACCAGTGATGGAACCCACAGTGAAAAGTATACTATACTCACAAATAGCGGAGAAAAATACCCCGCACCCGTCATCTCTCCCTCTCTGAGGAAACAATTTTTAACTGACCTTGTCATCCTTGTCCACCTAAACTTAACTGGACTGTAAGCCGTCTTAGTTAACAGTTTCTGTCATCTCCGAATAGTTTTTAATCGAGAAGCGTCGCGGGAAGGCTAATTAGGACTTAACTGAAATCGGATGTTTTTGGGTGAAAGGTGCGGATATCGCAGCCTAGCTGTAAACCACAACACAACGTGGCAACCACCCTTTAAGGGGAAAAATAACAATTATCACCCAGCAGGGAATCGAACGCTGGTCACCCGAGTGAAGGATGACATACTTACAACTATACTACCGACGACTGAAGAGTTTAGGTTAGATATCGCAGCCTAGCTGCAAACCACAACACAACGTGCCTACGGCCCTCTCGAAGGCGAACGAAGATTACCCGTGACATGACCATTGAGCATCATGTCGCCGCTGTCACAGGCTAGTTGTAAACCCCAAAACCGAAAAAGGCGTAGATATCGCAGCCTAGCGATAAACCACAACACAACGTGCCAGCCGCCCAGTTAAGGGCTTAAAAAAATAGTGTAACCTAGCGTTGAATCGAACGCGGGTCACCTGCATGATAGGCAGAATAGCTACCAACTACGCTACCAAACACTCAAGCAAATAGTGGAAATTAAATTATATAACAATGCAAAGTTCAATAAGAGCTCAGCAGTCAAATATGGCAGATCACATAAAAACAAATCCGGGCCGGCAACGAAAAAAAATAATGATTTGACCGTTGCTGGAGCTACGTCGTTCGTGGTTGGTGTCACGCTTGGGGTCAAATGCAAAGTTGTGTGCAAATTTGAAAGCAATCGGTTCAGTAGTTTCCGAGTTTTTAGCTAACAACATCAGAAAATTACCATTTTTATTAATATAGATACAAGATAGTGAAGCCTTATATAGTCTGATGCCTTATATAGAGGAGAGCACGAATGAATGAATCAAGAATTTGGAGCATTCCTACATGTACTCTGTCCCTTTCCTTGGTAACCAATGAATAGTTCCTATACAGGTGGTAGCAGTTCAAACCTGATTATAATTCTGTCTGTGTTTACTCTTGCACACTGAAAACCATCATGACCCTCTGCCTAATCCCTGCTAAATGGTAAAAGTAAATTAAAGGACCTTCTTCCACATCTTCAGGCATATAGGGCTAGACTTATTTCCTAATGACCAACTGGCAGCCAGTGGGTGATGTGACAAACACCCTGCCGGCCCTATTTACTTCACAGGACTTTACCTGATACCCATTTAAGGCTAGATTAACCTGGGAGTCAAAGTCATTAAAAATAAACAATTTTGCTCCCTCAGGACTTGAACCTACAACCTTTACATCCATAGGCAAGTCTTTACCCACGTCACAACAGCAGCTGTTGAATTTTAGGGTCAAACAAAGAAAAAGTTATAAGAGAATGCGTTTTAACATGAATGTGAATGGTTACATGTTTAATAGCAGTTTAATGCACTATAGAAGTAAAGAAAATGTCTTCAAGTATTTTATAAAAATAGAGCTAGCCATATTCTTTTAAATACACAAACAATCACTTGATGAGTGATATGGTCAATACCAACCATCTTTACTTTCTAGAATATCTCATGGTATCCATATCAGGGTGGGTCTAACCAGAAGCCCAGGTCTTCTTTTTGGCATTCAGTTTTGTATGTTCAGACCAACCTGCCCACTCTACAACTTCGAAAAGAAACCTGGCCTCAAGAGCAAAGTGTGCAGAGCAGGCTATGGGTAATCATGAATGACCTGCTGCTGATATGAAAGTTCATAGAGGTGACCCACCTGTTGGTCTGATCTGAGCATATAAAACCCACTGCAAAGAAGAAGTATACTCAGACAAGCGTCAGGTAGGCTGCCTCTATGAACCCTCAGATCAGATGCAGATTCTCCAAGGTTCCCCACAGCTTACTCTGGACATTCTGCTCTCAGATGAGGCTTCTCTTCGTAATTGTAAGTATAATGGGGAGGCCTGCAGAATGGGCTTAGGTGGAAGTTCAGATCAATTTTAAAAGCCCCATGCACTTTAACTTGCAAACAGTTTATGGTAATTGTATGACAAGCCGAGGATATGATCACCTCTGAGATAGTCTTCTATCATCTGTCTCGTTGTCTCAATGTCTTGATCATTGCCAGAAATCTCAATACTCTTCATGTCATCTTCATCTACAGCATTAGATATCTGAAAAAAGAAATACACACACACATTATACACAGAAGAGACTGAATTGAAGGAGAGATAGAACAGAATCAGTATTAGGAAGCATATTCCAGTTGGAAACAGCATAAGCATTGCAGCTAGACACTTGCCTGAATTGAGACAGATTTTTTCACAACAACCATTGACCAGCCTTGTCATGAACCCAGTTTTTGGTGGACAACTGGTTTTGTAGCATTGTTTTGAAAGACACATATGTGTGCACCAGTGACGATTTATTTAGCGCTGAATGGGGCAGAGGGAGATAATAATGACAGTGTCTTTGCAAGGACTGGTGGCTTAGGATTTGTTTTGTATGTTCTACAAGGATGTTTGCAGCTATTAAAGTCAATGTCAACGACTCCTACAAAGTGCTTTCCAGTGTTTTAATTCAACTCCTGTTTAATTAGTAATCTGCTGAAGACAATTCTGCTGATTGTGCCTGAAAAGGTATCTGACAAGCTTAAAATGGGTTTCAGGCAATTTCCTTGGATGTGAAGGCGACCAGCATGATCTTGACATCACCCATGTAATGCTGGCCTACAAAAATATATGTAGCATATATACATGATGTGCCACAGGTGTGTAAAGGGTCCTTAACTTTTTCTTTTTAAATACTTACATTCCACTCAAAAAACAGATAACTAACATGTGTAACACCAGGCTATCAGTTCAACTAGCCAGAGCTGCTTCAAAAGAATCAATTGTCAATGAGCAGCTTTTCCAAATATTTAATAATCTTGATATGAGGTCATCTACCCAAGTGTTATCCTAACTGCATTACCTATCTAGTCTCTTAAAAAATACTTACGAAAAATGTCCGACTCTCAAAAGGCCAGAACAAAACAACAGATATCTAAAGAAGGCTTTAATAAATGCAGTTTTAAAAAAAGACAGCAGAATAATTTTGTCCTGAACTTATTTCCTAGGAGAAATACCTAAAAGGATTGATTATACACAAAGTATTTGATCTGATTTGTACTCTACCGTTCATCCCGAGAAGGATGCTAGTTTTTTGTTTTGTTGTTGTATTATTGTTAGCCTGTTTTGTTTTGACAGGTGTCTGCTGTTTTTGCAATCTCACATGATCACCAGTCTCCAATCAGTATGTTTTTGTTTGTCAGTTTTAAACACACACACACAAATTTATTTTTAAAAAGTTATCTTATTATTTACCTGACTTTCTCTTGCTCCTTTTTTATTTTGTCAGATATCAGAGTTTTAAAGCTGACTTTTTATTACAAGGAAAAGAGTATATTTGATGTGGAATTTTTGTCAAGTGTGGACAACAAAGCAGGGTATGGATTAATCTTTTTTGTTTGCCAGTTGTAAGCTCTAATGGAAAGTCCAGGTTGTTCGTCCATCTGGACTTTAGTTTTGTGCCAGGGCCTGAGTTTTGCATGTACATGCGTTTTACTGGCATATTTGTATGCAGTTGGTTGTTCCTTGTCGCTCGGGCAGATAAACCCCGACTTTGAAGAAAACCCCCAATTAGTCGATCTCTGCGACATGTTTGTTGGGGAGGCAGTGGTTCTATTCTTGTTTTTCCCCGCAATGGGGCCCCGGAACCCACATGGGGATATGCATTAATAACTTAGGCAACCTGTATGACAGTGACACAACATTTGATACAGAAACTATTAACACAGGTGGCTGAAATATGATACTGGTATATCCTCAAAGGTGCACAAACTTGCTCTTCTCCTCAGTTTATCAAATGTCAGTTTATGGTCACCATAACTTGCTCAAAACATCCACAGTAACTTCTGTAAAGATTACTTGGACAGTTTTTCCAAATAAACTGTGCAGCATGATAATCAAACACTAGTACTCGGTGATCATAAACCAAAAAAAATGATTACATGACGTCAGATGTGCAGATCAAGGCCACAAATATCACAAACCTCAAAATTGCAGATAAGAAACATAAAATGATTACATGGTGTCAGATGTGCAGATCAAGGTAAAAATATCACAACTCTTGAAATTGCAGATAAGAATCATGAAATGATTACTGAAAACCATAAGGTCTTGTGTTTTTGTGGAGCAGCATTTCATAAGGTAAGAGGAAAAAGAACATTTTACTTTATTTCCGTATCAATGTCCGATGTGATCTGTTTAAAAAAATTATAATATATCTGACATTACAATTTTAATTTTATTTTTGAATGCTCAAGATACGTGTCTATGATGAAAGAAATTCATTTTCCGAGCGTGAAGGCCATCAGGAAAAATGTCCCTAGCAAGAAGTCATTCATATAAGACAATCAGAAATAGAAAAGCTTTATTTTAATTTCTGTTTAAATATTACATATAATTATTTTTTAATCAACCGTCAACATAAATTAACTTTTATTCATCAACTTAGGATATTATATACAGCAGCCTACACAGGGGTAAGACAAGAGACCAAAAATATTTTAGACACTAAATTATGACAAATAACAAAACAGAACCTCCCAAAATAAAATTCTTCTAGAAACTGTTTTAAAATCCTGTTCAACTTAAGTTAATATCAAATCTCCAGATTTATTAGTTATAACTTAGATAGTGTCTCAATTTGCTCGAGTAGTCGCCATTTGGAACATTTTTAAGGGGCCACCAATCCTTTGCACAACTAGGCGGTCTCTTTTTTCCGGTGATTTTTGGCATCTACTCGTGACCTTACTGCCTAGTACAAATCCTGGAAGAGCATTTTTTTTTTTTGACCAAGTGAAAAACAAGAAACACTTGCCAAATAACTGCTGACTGTTAACGGATATGAAAAAATCTTTTTAAGTGTGCTGAAAGTATTTTTTTTTGGGGGGGGGGGGGGTGGGGGGGGGGGGGGGGGGGGGAGTGGGGGGGGGGGGGGGGGGGGGGGGGGGGAAGTGCATTTCTAGAGGGATGTGGCCAATTATTTTAGTCAAAACCCTTTTACTGCTGAAGAATTATTTAAAAAAATAAAAATTCTGCACCATTCTGTGCATCAACACTCCAGTAAATAACAATCCTAATGAAATTTACATTAAAAGCAAACCTTAATTCTTCCTCCACCAGCTTGTTCAAATTCTCGAATTTTCTTTCCACCTCGTCCTGAAAAAAATTAAATCAAAAAGTTACAGGTAATAATCAGGAAGAACATAATTTAAGAACAGAAGCTCTGTGGCTTTCATACCGGAAAACATTTCCCATGCAGCCACAATGAATACACACACACAAAAGCAAACTGTTTGAATGTTACTTATGTTTTAGGTATGGTAATTTAAAATCCTTATTATGAGTATTGATAGTCAGGATAATAGTTATTCGTTATCACTTAATTCCCTGAATCTCATGTTAGTTCTCTTATACTCACGGGTAGTCTGATAGGAAATTTGAAAAATATCATATTTTTGCTTTAACATATTTTATGCCACTAACCATGTAGATAAATATGTCTATTTTCATGAGCAGTTTACAACTTTAAAATCCGATCAATAGAACCTGAGATAATTTGATTACAAATGGGTGTGTGTGGGTAGCTCAAGGAGACAATTTTGACAAAAATTTCTATAAAAAAGTTTTTTTTTCTTTATATGGTTCTTTTTAATCCAAAACAATGAATCACTCCCCTTTTCTTGGGTCTTATTATAAGAGTTTCTCCCCTTACTTGCATCAAAGCATTTCCGTTGACAGAAGCTGGAAATTTTATGATTTGTGAGTTATTATCGAGTTATTTGTGTCAATACTTAGTTTAGAATTATGCCTTCATTTCCAAAGCAGAGGAGTAAAGTTGCAAAGAAAAGGAAATTTAGAGGGAATCAGTTTACTTCTGCTTCAAAGCAACCTAAACTGGTGGTAGACATTGAATTGCCTCGTGTTTCACCAGCTGACGCTTGCCGAGTTTCTGAAGACAAAGAAAATAATCTGATTTCAGAATCTCTTAGTGCCACGCCCACTACATCAGAAAATAAACTGTTTATGGACAGCATTATGAATGAAGATCTAGAGGATAAACAAGAGTGTTCTGATGACTTTAATAGTGACAATGAAAGTGAAAATGGTCATTTATCTGAACTTGTTCCCAGTGGCAACAGAATTATTGATATGTACATTTTGTGTGAGAATATTTCATCACAATTAGTGTGTGCAAGTTGTCATGAAAGTGTCAGATTAGTTGAAATTCAGAGGCAAGGTTTAGGAAGTAAACTTGCATTTCACTGCAACAATGAAAGATGTTCTGGACAAAAGGCTTTCCCTACATGCGAACAAATCATTGTAGGTAAAAGGACAGTGAGTAGTATAAATCAGCGTGCTGTTTTTGCAATGCGAACTATTGGCTGCGACAGATCTGAATTGCAGACATTTTGCGGAATTATGGATTTACCACCACCTGTCAGCAAAAGCACATATAGTCTTATTAATAAGAAAATAGAGACTGCAGCAACAGAGGTACAGACTACATCTATGAGAAATGCAGCCATGAATGAATTTTCTTTAGCTGAATGTTTAGAAAATAAGGAACAGATGGATGACATCCGTCATATTGATGTGTCATCAGATGGGACTTGGATGACCCCAGGACACTCATCAGTGATAGGAGTTGCCACAACTATTGGTTGTCAAACAGGCAAAATACTTGATACAGGGACAAGATGTAAGCAATGCAAGTCTTGTGACGTTTGGAAAAGAAGGGATAAAAGTACGACGAGGTATATTAGATGGGCTACAGAACACAAGGACATATGTACACTCACACATAAGGGTTCTTCGGGATCGATGGAGGCAGAAATAATCAAAGATATTTTTGCAAGGTCTGTGACAAATTATAATCTTAGGTATACCAGGTTTATAGGCGATGGAGATACAAACACATACAAAGCAGTAGTTAATTCCAAACCATATGGAGATATACCGATTGATAAAATAGAATGTGTGGGACACGTACAAAAAAGAATGGGCACCCGTCTCCGCAACTTAAAAAAAAAGCATGAAAGGAAGAAAGTTAGAAGACGGAAAAGGCTTAGATGGAAAAGGAAGGCTTACAGATAAACAAATTGATCAGATTCAAACAATGTATGGGAATGCAATTCGTAGAAATAAAAACAATCTTACTGTGATGAGACAACATGTGTGGGCAGTCTATTTTCACAGACTTTCAACTGATGGAAATCCTCAACACAGTATGTGCTCACCTGTGTGTCCTTACAAGAAGGCTGAATCAGAAAACAAGTTAGATTCTTACAAACATAAATCTAGCTTGCCCACAGCAGTTATGGATACCATAAAAACCCATCTTTAGGGATCTTGCACATCCAGATCTTTTACGCAAGTGTTTAGAAGGTTATACACAGAACGCAAATGAAAGTGCTAACAGCCTCATCTGGAAATATTGCCCTAAAAAAAAAGCTCATGGACTGACTACAGTGAAAACAGCTGTTTCAATAGCAGTGAGTGTATTCAATGATGGTGCTAAGACATTCTTGGATATTATGAGGGAACTGCAGCTCATGGTTGGACAGTTTGCTAAAGACTGTTTTCTGCAAAAGGATATGCGACGAATAAAAAATGCTCAACGGCGAGCCAAAGCAGCATCACATGCAGCCAGAATAGCTAGGAGGCGGAGTAGACTTACTAGGGATGAGAAGCAGGCCCACCAGGAAGGATTACCATACTTACCTGGAGGACATTAGCTCATTTAAGCCGAGTAAGTACCATTTTTCTCTCTCAAAACTGACCGAAAACTTTGCCAAAATTTAGGGGGTGTGACTAACTTTTTGGTGTTTTTTTCTAAACTATTGGAGATAAATTATTCAACTTTGGTACACAGCTTTAAAACAACAACAGCTATGATTCCTACCACCAGCTTTGAGAAATATTTGATGCAAGTTGAATTATGAGTATTTTAATTTCATAATTTGCTAGTCATTTTAGCCCAAATTTTACAACTTCATAACTTCAAAACTATTGCTAGTACAAACAAACTAGAGGTAGGGAATCTAACTGTAGCAGTGAACTACTCTGACTCCAAAATTCAGGACTCCTGTTAGGTTAGTTTAGAAAATGTCTGTATAAGACTAAGATCAAATTTTTTTTTTTTTACTCTTACATTTTGTTCAATTTAATAATAATTTGGCACGTTTAAACACGTTTGCAAGAAAAACAAATGGCACATTAGTGAACTGTCATGTATCAAGCATAAGCTCACCAAATTTCAAGAAGATATTTTAATATTTAGTTGGTTATTCATCAAAAACAAAACGGTACCCATTTTTTTCACATTTCTGACCAGACTACCCCCTTAAAAGGCTGCCTTTCTACATGTTAGAATCTACAGCTAGACTGCAATCTCTCTGCCTTTGTGCTTAAAACATCCAATTTCAGTAAACCTTCAATAGGTCAATTTGCCACCTTTTACTTTTACAGTTAAGCAGGTTTATCCTCCCCTTATGTTTCTCTGATCAACCTGGTTGTGCTTTTTAAGTGTTTGCTAGAAGGCGGCTGATTCTCAGTCATTCTGTTCTCTAGAAACCACAATAAATATTAAATAAAAATAATGTCTGAGACATTGTCCTTTGTATGCTTGAGTAGGTAGACATCGGGCTCTCCTCTGAACATCGTCCTCATCGCAGCAAAACTAGGATTGTCTCCAAAAAACGTGCCAATATTATCAAGTGCAAACAAATACTCTAACAGGGTCTCAGCAATTTGTTAATTGCAGACCTGGTTCTGCGACTATGCTGCACCGTCAAAAGTATGTGCCGCTTCGCACGGCGGGGATGGGGGGAGGCTAAACTAGATCGCTGGGGCTCATGAGCAAATAAATTGGAGGAAGTTGCAAGAGATGCGGTAGCTGCTGCTGGTGAGTTGCAGCCATCTAGTTTAGCCTCCCATCCGCGCTGCTACGCGCAGCGCGGGTGATACGCTTGGCCGTGAGTTTAATATAATAATAGTTTTAATATTACTTAGACTTAAAAATCATACAGAAATAATAATTTTATTGGCGAAATAAAACATTCGGCTCTTCTTTCAATACCGGACGGTAGCTGGACGGCTTAGTGGGAGTTCTCTCCCTTTGCCGCATTGCAAACAGGGAGCAGAAAAGTCACGAATCAAATGACATACTTACCTATCATCATACGGCTGCGTAGTCATCATACGGTTGCGTGTAGGGTTGCGTAGTCATCATACGGTTGCGTAGTCATTATACGGTTGCGTGTAGGGTTGCGTAGTCATCATACGGTTGCGTGTAGGGTGTAGGGTTTGGGTTGGGTTGCTTAGGGTTAAGGTTAGTTAGGGTTAGGATTAGGGGTAGGGTTAGATGTGACAAATTTGACGCAGGAGTTCCGACTAATCGCGCAGTCACATACACACCCAAACAATCGAAGGACTGTGGATGCTACTCAAACGGACAATTTGCCACTGATTGGGCACCAGCCGCGCACTATTGCTGTCATATTTGGGAGATTTCCAGTGGCGCCACTCCCACAAGCATCACATTGTCGGCAAGTATATGGAACTCCTACGTCAAAATTGTCACATCTAACCCTACCCTTAATCCTAACCCTACCCCTAACCCACACCCTAACCCTGCGCAACCGTATGATGACTACGCAACCATACAAAGAACCGTATGATGATTACGCAACCCTACACGCAAACGTATGATGACTACGCAACCCTACACGCAACCGTATGATGACTATGCAACCCTACACGCAACCGTATGATGAAACCATATGATGACTACTCAACCGTACACGCAACCCTACACGCAACCGTATGATGAAACCGTATGATGACTACGCAACCCTGCACGCAACTGTATGATGATAGGTAAGTATGTCATTTGATTCGTGACTTTTCAGCTCCCTGTTTGCAATGCGGCCAAGGGAGGGAACTCCCACTAAGCCGAACTGAGCCGTCCAGCTACCGTCCGGTATAGAAAGAAGAGTCAAATATTTTATTTCTCCCTACAGCGCCTAACGCGCAGATGTGGAAACTGATGATGATGGCCTCAATTATTTCACGGCATTATTGGTACGTATTGTTCCATATTTTGTTGTTCCATATTTTGTATAACCTCTTTATAACCCCTTGACCTCTTTGTAACCCCTTGAACCCCGTGAGGCTCTGAAAGGAATGTTTTGGACAGTCAATAATAAGGGGCCGTTATTCGGAAGAGTGACTAAATTTTATTTAAATAAATTAGTAATCACTAACTCCTTCGGTCCAGGGCAACTTAAAAGCCACACCATTCTAAATATATCATAACATATGCAACAGAGCCATCCCTTTCACAGAAAATGAAACTAAAAGTAAAAGTAACAAAACAGTTAAGTAAGCGACGACTGGCGCCGCATGCATGTATTTTAAATATTGTATATTGTATGGAAACATTTCACGCATACCAATTACTTTTCCAACGTCTGAGGAGGCAATCTTCATTGTCACAGATAAGCTCCCGCTATGTTCGCCGCGGTATGGCATTATTTTGTCGTGTTTTAACAACTATTATTTAAAATTTCAGATCTATCTTTTACACAAGCTAAGCAACAACCGCTGGTGCGTTATGTATGGTTGTCTACTGGCAAGAGTTGATACACAGTCTGACGCGTTTAAAAATGACCAGATTTCTTCCGCCTCACGGGAAGATGAACAAATGAAATTGAATCCTTATTATCAAGGCTAAAAAAGTTAACTTGATCGCATCTCCTTCTGGTGTGTAGATTCTAACCCTTCAAATGCCTCAGTAAATCTGTGGTTCTTCGTGAACACGCATTTAGTGAAGGTAGATTTACCAGTAGTGGAAATCAGCGAGGAAATTTTGACGAGAACAAACCTTATGACATACATGGGAATGAGGGTTGATCAAAGCCTGTCGTTCAAAGAGAATGTTGGCAAAAAAAAAAAAAATTCATGCAAAGGCCTTTCAGCAATGATGGTAGTCTGGTAGTCTTAGTTTCAGCTTCATAGCAAACGGGTCACCCCATCTTTGCTCCGCTCCTGTGCCAACGAAAAACACACATAATGTTTATCACAGTCCCTTGTGGAAAGATGGACAGACTGCTGTCTCAGCATATCTAGCATAAACTCGCATTAAAGCATGCGGTAGCCATCCGAAGTGCTAACACAAACAGTCCAACATTAGAAATGCAGTTCATCATTGATGATAGCAGAACCTGACGCCAACAGATCAGCAGTTGCCCATGCGATCAATTTAAATCACATACGGGCACCGCGAACATTGCACGACAGACATCGCGAAATTTTCTGAATCTACATTTCTACAATTTGGTCACAGTCGGAAAAAACATTCCAAATGCAATTCGCAGCTCACAGTGTCACGCCATGCATTCAACTCAGATGAATGATGATTCTGACCGCTATTAATATTAATTAAGCTGAGACTGCTTCTGCGTCTCTTTCAGTGGCTTGTTCTTTCTCTCATCGAAAAGGCTCTAGCAATTCTCACTGTCAACCATACATATTGAAAGACTTGGGAAGGGGCAAACCCAAGCAATGCACATTATTCTGAGGTGCACACGAGACACGTCTTGTGTGGCAATGAAATACCTTCTTGGGTGACCTGAATGCGGTATCTCTGACATGAAAAACTGCACTGAAGATTGCACAGGATAGGAAAGCACGGAAATTCCTCGCCGTAGCCTCATGTGCCACTAGACAGGATGGTGATGATGGAGCCCACATAGGACAGCAGGTTACCTTGTCACTTAGGAACAGCAGGCGATCCTATTATAACTATTGTGTACGTTTGAACATGATTGTTGGGATCTGTACTTGCCGGATTCGCATCGAATGGTGTCGCATCGAGCATTAAAGGTTTATGGCTACGCACGACCATGCAAATCTAAGTTCACATTTTGAGAGCATGCATCATTCCTTTAGCAGCATACAGGTGAGATTTTTGAACTTTCACAATCATTTAGGAATTAGCTAAAATATATCAATATCTGCGAATAGATCTAGTCTCAAAATTATGCACTGAAACACAGAGGGAGTTAAAAGTAAAAAATTAGAACTCCATAATCTGCGATCTCCTGCAGCAATTATCAGTTACATTTTTACAATTGAGCAGATCCAGAACGAAGAAATACGAATCACCCGGGTGGTCTCGAAGTTCTCTCTATAGAATAGGGTTGCCAGGTGTCCTCATTGTTTCGAACACGTCCTCATTTTCCAAGTTAATCTGAGTGCCCGAAAACAATTTTTTGAATTCGTAGATTTGTCAGCATATGAATATGTCTCAGAAGATAGCAACAGGCGGTATGCGCTCTGAATGGGTAGAAAGCATGCGAAAATCGCACTTAACCTCCCTCACCTGGATCTACACACCTGGTCATGCGGTCGTAAAGGGAAATGAACGAGTGGACCAGCTGGCAAGCATCGCACTAAGGCATGTGGGAAGAAGCATTGACAGAGCAGATATCATCAACGCTGTACAGACTAAGCTAGTGGATAATGAGGAATCCCTGACACTAACACGATTGCGTGACATGGAAGTAAAGCCTGGTGAAGTACTATGTCGTCTCTGAGCCCAGATATTAGACAATATAACCAGTTTCTCATGGGAACAATTATTAGAATTATTATTCTGTAGGGGCTGCTGCATCGGAGGACTGAGCACGCATGGGAATGCCCAATGTGCAGTGACGTCGATTGTGATAACAACATAACGCCTGAAGGCGTGGAAAGGGCTCTGTTACAGTATTATAATGATTTCCTTACTATGAATAGGTGCCTTCATCAGTTCTCGTTATGCCTAGTGGCACATGAGGCTTCATGGAGGACTTTCCATGCTTTCCTGTCCTGTGCAATCTTCAGTGCAGTTTTCCATGTCAAAGATGCAGGACTCCGGTCACTTTCCATCGTTCGTCTCCATGTTGTTTTTGGGCGCCCCTGTTTTCTCTTTCCCTCTGGTGTCCATGTGAGAGCTGTAGTGGCCAAGCCATTTCCATCTTCTCTTGGTAATCATACTGTCTAATGTTTCTTGGTTTGTGGCTTGAAGTAGTTTAGTGTTTGAGATTGTATCTGACCAGAAAATTTTGATAATTCTACGTAGACATGTGTGGTGGAAGGTGGACAGCGTGTGTGCATCCTTTTTGACCATTCTCCAGCATTCCGCTCCATAAAGAAGAGCTGGAAAAATGATGCTCTTGTAGAGTCGGAGTTTCGTTCCTCTGCAGTATTTGTTGGATTTCCAGATTTGCCTCATCCTTCCAAAAGCAGCTCTAGCTTTGTTCAGACGTGACTGCCAAGATATGTGACATGTTCTACACTTTCAAGTGATTGGTTATTTATGGTCACTGGTTGTTGGTTTGGACTGTTTGTCATGATCTTAGTTTTCTTTGTTTTTTTTTCCTCAGTCCCACCATTTCTGCTGTGCAGTTTAGTCTTTTACTTTTCTCTTGTATATGTTCATGTTTATGTGATAGGAGTGCTATATCATCTGCAAAATCAAGGTCCTCAAGCATGGTGAATGGAGTCCATCGTATGCCTCTTAATGTCCTGTCTACTGTGTTCTTTAGTATCCAATCAATCACAAGGTTGAGGAGGAGAGATGACATAACACATCCCTGTCTTACACTCGTCTTTACTGGGAAAGATGTATTGTAATTTTTTATACTGCAGGAAAGGTCTTTATAAAAAAGAGCAATTATGTTGACTATTTTTTCTGGAATTCCATAATGTCGTAAAATTTTCCACAGACCGTCTCTATGGACGCTGTCACAAGCTTTCTCAAAGTCCACAAAATTAATATATATGCTTCTCTGCCATTCGTTGCATTGTTCTAAAATGTTACGTATGGCGAAGATGTGCTCAGTTGTTCCTCTGCCCTTTCTGAATCCTTCTTGTTCCACTCGTAGGCATTTATCTACTCTTTTTTCAAGTCGCATTATGATGATTTTACAAAATATTTTGCTTGGTACTGAGAGTAGAGTAATTCCCCTCCAATTATTGCAGTCTGTAAAGTCTCCTCTTTTGGTGATTTGGACTATTGTTCCTTCAGTCCAGTCATCAGGCAACATTTCTTTTTCCCAAATATCCTTGAACAATGCTTCTAGAATGGTTTGAATAGGTGCATTAGGCCCTTTTAAATTACTTCCAATCCTCTGCATTTGATTTGTAGATAAATTAGGATCGTCGCTTCTATGTATAAATATTTTCTGGGCATGAAATCCACCTCACAACACATTATTAGGCTTGGCTCAAAAATTGTGAAATTTGCGATATTTCTTGGCAACGAATGATGTGGCTGCCGAACGGCCACTTCCTGTAACAAACTGAAATGGCGAGGGACTTTAGCGATTTTGTTTGGAACCCCGATATGGAAGTGAATCTCTTCCATGCAATGAGAGGGCATAAACCAGTAGGTGAGCCAACAGTTTTTAATTAGCACTGATACGTTTACATGTCAAGATTATGTTCAGTCAGGTGCTGTCTCCTCCGGAAACCTTACAATGAAATTAAGTTTATTATTAGTAATTAGTGTTTACCTTCACTACTGTTCCCTGCACTTAACTGAGACGGTTTTTCAACACTTCAACACCCCGTAAGCGGCGTTTGGGATACCCTCGGCGGTGGTGGAAGTGCGCAATTTAAGGTGATTGAAGTGCGCAATTGACACGTAACTGAGGCCCTGTTAGGGTATATTTTCCGCCTCGATAATTTAGGACCGTTATTCGGAGGATAGCCGCCGGATAGCCAAATACTAATAGTAATATTAGCATGGTTACATCGGGGCACCACAGCCAAATGAAAACTAGTGTTGTTACGAAGTGCAAAGTCTTCTTCTTCTTCACGTTCACTTCACTGGTTGTGACTGTTTTGTTGCTTGCAAGTTAGTTAAATAACTTGAACTCAGAACTTGGTTGTACTAGCCGGCTGAAAGTTCTGGTTATTCGTGGACCACTGATCTTTAGTTTTAGTCTTTTTTCAGATCCTGAGTGTTGCATGCACATCTCTTTTAAAGTTTACAGTTCTGACTTATGATGGAGATTGACGATTGTATTGACTACTGATTCCTCACCTTTCAGACGGATGCACTCAGACTTTGAAGTGAAGGAAACCCCCAGCTATTTTATTAGTCGACTCTTACTACTCTTCCTACACTTAAAACATGCTTATTGTAAAGGCAGTGGATCTATTCTTGTTTTCTCTTAAGTTGGGCCCTTGAACTTACAACATTGTCAAGTCACCTGGAAGTCAGTGGAGTGGGTGAGTCGACCGGGCCACTTTTCAGTGTTCCCCCATCTCTTGTCAGATTTTCTAAATTATTTTTAACTAACATAGTTTATTTCCACTTGTTTTAATGAAATCCAACAGTACTTTATTGAAGTGTTAGTTCTGAGCCGAGACATAAATTTTAGGTAAATTATTTAAATAACAAGGGAATGTAACCAAGGAAACAAGGATGTCCAAGAGAAACCGTAAGGCCAACATTGATGAGAGAAGCCAAAAGTGCTGGGCCAGATATCAATGATATCAAAGTGATTGCACAGGTTAAAATGGAATGGAGAAAAGACTGTGAGCCCTTAGTGACATATATTGGCACAATAGGACAGTGAATGAATGAACAGCTCCGGGGTAGACTCAGGCTTTTAAAAAAGTTAGTATCGACTATTTGCAGAATTTTCTGGGATAGGAACTGGTCACCCCACGTCATCGGTGACCTTGAGGGGATCTCGGTGGTGAAATGGTCAAGCTGTTTGCCTCGCACTGTGAAGGATGTAGGTTCGTTTTACGGCAGCTCTGTTCAATTCACGAGTGCAGTTTTTACGGAGATCTCTGGGGATTGTCACCGGAGCTATGAAGTTCGTGATTCATGTGATGCTCTCGGCAGATGGCTAGCGGCTCTGTGGAGAGGCACAGAGCCATATGGGATAAAACCTGACACAGTGAAGTTGATTCTCTCGACTAAAACATTTAACTGGTGACCTAGAATATGTACAAGCCTCACACTGCATACCCAGATGACAGTGTCTGATATAGTCAACCTTTTCCTGTTCGTACATACATTATATCTATAGTAAGACCTCGTTAACATAAACTCATCTAAGACAAACACTCAGTTACCATGAACTCAATTTTGGTCGCAGCAGGGATGTATTATTGTTAGTCTGTGGTCAGGCAAAAAAATTTTTTAACACAAACTCACATTACAGTGTAGTCTATGAACTAATTTTGTTAACTTATTGATTTAATCAAGGATAAATATAATTTTACTTCTCTCTGATCTTTGCTAGGTGTCAACAAACACTTTCAGATGATATCAATTCATGATCGACTGAGCTCAGCATGTAAAAAAATTACCTCAGATGATGTGTGGAACCATCTTTCAACACTGTATGACTTACAAGCTCTGGTATGTGTTCATCTTAACTGGTCTTTGGTATTCATGAAAACTTTGAAGCCTTTTAAAATATTTTGATGTTTCCATTTTATGCATTGTTATATCATTATTGAGATGCATTTCAACTTATTAAATATAGTTACATAAAATCTTGTTATTATGTAATTATTTTTTATTCCAATATAAAGTTAAGAGGCTAAAGAATCAACTTCATTGCAGTATATTGCTCCGTCTTTGTCACAGAATGTCAAGCTGCCTGTCACGAGTGTCACAGAATGTCAAGCTGCCTGCCGAGAGTGTCACAGAAGCACTAATTTCATAGCTCCTGTGATGATTACCAAGGATCTCTGAAAAATTGCACTAGTGAACTGAGCAACTGAGCCGCGAAATGAACCCATGACCTTTAGAGGGCAGGCAGATGCCTTAACCATTTCATTAAAGACCCCCTCCAGTATAAAGTACTGATTAACACTGCTTGCCTTTAGCAATTAGCATTATATTTGTTACTTCAGACTGAGTCGATAATCAGTTGCATTTATCTTATTTCAGAATGAATCTGAGATAGTACCCTTTCCCAACAAGAATGGCTGTTTTGATTTACTAGAGAGTGACGTTTCAGATCTTTGTGAGAAAACTTTTCCACGAACACCTTACATCAATAACCAGCCAACTGATTCTACAAAAACTGACAGCGCACTCAATTCAAACATCACACCATCAGGTGCAACACAAGGTAAACTTTATTACCTTTTTTTTTAATGTGCACATAAGAATTGAATTCAGCCAACATTTAGTTAACATCAGCATCATCTGTTCCATGGTTCAAGTAGAAAAGTTTTATCTTTGAATCTTAGCTTGTTGTTGAAAAATTAGGTTGTTATTTATTTATAGCACTTCTAACGGGCAGGCTTTAATTTTTGTGTGCTTGTTATTTGGTATTGCTGTTAGATTATAAATAATTTTGAATGGAAATATGACATATTTTGAGTCTTCTGTTTTGTCTTAGTTGTCAGTGTCTTAGATGAATACATCAGAGTACTGAGAACACATGCCCTTATTGATAGTTTATGTTCTATGTTTGTTTGCTAATTGGAAAGTGAGAAGCAATAATGATAGTCTATTTAAAGTAATACTAGGTACTGGCATCATGAAGGTTAATAGACTATGATGGTAGGGGCATATAGAGAGAATGCCAGGTAATGTAGACAAAAACTGCATGCACAAAAGGGTTGAATGGGAGACGGCTATCAGGCAGATCAAGAAGATGGTTGCTCACCTACAAACACCTGGAGTCAACTGGAAAGAAAAAAAGCCAGTCACACAGATGAGTGGAGACAGATAAAATCTGAAGCAGTCAACCTTAAGGCCTTGTAATGCTGGGGAAGAAGAAGCAACTGCTTTATTCATTGGTGTACACGTGAGCAGATATCGGTGGGCACATCAAGACAACATAAACGCTGAAAGCTTAAGGCAATGTGGAAATGTGTAGACTGTAAATGAAAAAGTCATAGATAGTCTGCTTTCCCCCTGACATCTTTGTAAATCTGTAATACCATATGAACTGCATGATCAGCATAAGTAGAAATGAGCTCATATGGTTCAATGACCCAAATGTAGGCAGGAAAAGAATAATCCTAATGTCATTTCCCATAAGAAGCATGTCATAAAAAAAGCAACTTCTTGGACTGAGAAGTTCAGATGTAACAGCCTGGCTGTAAACTACAACACATTGTGCTAACCACCCTTCTAAGGATTAATGAAGAAGAAGAAAACATGAGTAATGGGGAGGGGGGGGATGAATATTTTCTCTTATAACTGAAATGCAGAGGTCCAGCGTGGGATTTGGAAGCCAAGTTGAATTCATGCTATCCTTACAAACTGTTGAGTATAAGTATGTACATAAAGTTTATTTTCTGACCAGCATAAGAGCATTAACGACTGCAGATGCATTTCCAGTTTGGTGTTTGTAGACTTGCACAAGATTATTATTATTATTATATTACAGTTTCCATTTCACAACATTGTCTTATTGAGCTTGTAATGGTATGCTACTAAATCAGTATTGCTACAGACCTTTTGGCACTCATTTGCTGATATTAATATGGCAGTCACCTTTACTTCCAAAGACAATTTCTAGTACCCGTTTTAGGATGGGTTGGCCTTGTTCTTCTTAGAATTCACCAGCTGTAAACTTCAGCAGAAAGTTCTGGTTGTTCGTTCACTCCTGGACTTTGGTCCTGTTCCAGAACTTGAGTATTATGCACACATCCATTTTACAGATCTGATTTATTTGTGTGCAGACCCTTGGTTCCTTGCCTCTCAGGCAGATACACTCTGACTTTGAAGGAAACACCCCTAACTAGTCGCCTGTGATGACATGAATGTTCACGGGGGTAGGTCAATTCTTTCACAGGTAAGGTTGACCTCCATGCACTAATTAAGTCAAACCTTTGTACCCGCAAGAAAGCATTTATCCACTGCACTATCAGGATTCCATTATTATGTTACTTATTTACTTACTTAGTCGCTGCTCTTCTACCTTAAGGTGTAGAGGTTTGAAGAGAGATCGCCAGACCTCTCTTTTTGTAATTTTCTTTTAGGCTTTGTTCCATTCCAGCCCTCTGTCAGTCAGGGACCATCGGATGTTGTCTTCCCAGCAGACCCTGGAGGTCTGGTTTCCTGGTTCTTGGCCTGCCGTTGTGTCAGGTTTTCTCTCATTCTGCATACATTTCCAAACCATCGTAACTGTGACTGATCTACTCGAGTTTGTAAGGCCTGGGTTTCAGGATTTGAAGTATTGTCTGATTACGAACTTGGAACACTCTTTTCAGATTATTATTATTTTAACTTTAAAATTATTTATGTTCTTAATAAGATGGCTAACTAAAATTTGTTGTTTGTTTAGGTGCATCAAAAAGTACAAAAGCAGGGAAACTGGAGCCGAAAGCATTACTACAGACACCAAAGACTGAAACTAAGACAGAAACTAAGCCCAGTACAAGCAAAGCAGAAAGTCGGGCTAATACACCGTCAGGTCGAGAACCGAAAACCACTCCCAGTAACATTTTAAAGGCATCTCTGCAGGCAGCCACACCTAATGCCTTTGAACCATCCCCCAAGCGCACCAAACGCACCAGAAATGTTCCATCAGCTAATGCCAGTCCAGCAACCCCAACAGAACCTCCAACAAAGCGAAGGAGATGATATTTAATATTAACTTTATGGATTGAAATTTCAGTTTTTATTGTCTGCAGTCTTGTTATCAAAGACTTGTGTAACTGTTACTTTAGACGGTTCCTCCTCATTTTAAAGCATTTATATAAAATAACTGGACCAAACTTTGAGAATATAATATTTAACAATGCAAAACAGTTTCCAACATCTGAACAAACAAAATTAAGATCAATCAAGTGTATTAACTTCATGGTTGTGTAGAGCAGAAACACGGACAACAAGTAGACAGTTTTAGGGCAATATCAGGGGCTTCTAAAATGTGGTTATGTCAAGGAATAGGATGAATTTCCTGGCACTAACAAACAATGAGTTGTCAGATCAGTTACTGAAAAAAAAATCAAAGTCAGGCAAAATATTTTGAAACATATAGAGAGATGCCTTTTTATTAAAGTATGTTTCATTCAAAGTCGGAGTACATCTGCCTGAGAAGCAGAGAACAAGAACTGCACACAAATAAGCCAGAAAAACTGATGTACACGCAAAACTCAGGTCATGTTTAAGGCCGAAGTCACAATGGATAAACCTACACGACTTTCCACTGGATTCACAGCCGGTGACCGCAAACAAACATTAAAGTGTGTGCTGAAAAAAAAAAAAAAGAATAAATGTTAGAATAGTTTTGGGAGACTTGCTACAGTTGACATGCAGTGAGTGCACTGAACTATAATGATGGCTTTTTAGAGCACCAGAGTGCCTTAAGTGTTGCTGATAATTTTGTGTTTAACCATAACAAGCTTTGATACCAGTCATTGCTGACATTTCACTGAATATTTCTGCAATTATGTTAACTGTTAACTTATACTGAATTGTCTAAATAAGAGAACCAATAAACCTTGAAATGACTGGAATGACATTACCGGTATTTTTGTAACTTTTAAAAATTATATAGCCTTGGCAGCATACATACTGGGTATCTCTTTGATGAAGTGATTTAATTCTAGGATTGAATGGTTTAGTTTTTAACTCTCTTCTTAGTGTATGGGAGTGTATGAGGTCTCTTGTGGTCAGAATTAGAGCTGCAGGGCTACATGCACTGTGTGATGGGTGAACAGCTGTCTTATGGAAATACTGCGCAGTATGGGATAAAGCCTGGTGCAGTAGTCATTTTTTTAACCATAATAAAGATGTTCCCTTGCCAGAATCTGCCTGATGTTTTATGTTTTTATTGAAACTTGCCACAGTTTGCTAATTGCTTGATCTTTGTACATCATTTTACCATTCACAGTAAAGGTTCGCTGTAATATGTCTCTGTCTCTTATCATGGCAGTACACTCTATCAGGCTGCTCTTCGTCTGTCTTTTGATGTTTTCCTTACACTTGTATCATTGTCTACCTACTTGCTGTCTTACTTTCCACTTTACCCTCCAGTAGGATTTAAATAAATGTTATGTTGTTTAATGTGGCCAAAATATTTTAGTTGCATTTTTTCTCTTTTACTACCAAGGAACACACCATACAGTCATTGGTTACACTAAAAGTGGTATACATTTCTTTATTTTTCCTATCCCATTCTTCTGTTATGTTAACTCCTTATTTTCCAGTTATTACTATAATGCCCCCTTTCCCAAGCTGTATTTTTCACCTCTATAAAACTAAAAACTGGTTGCTCTAGGATACAGAAACATTAGCAGAGATATTGTTGAACTCAAAACTACTGGGGCCGAAAGAGTTAATACTCAGAAACATTATTACAGTGGATTAAAAAAAAATGCACCTCATTAAAATAGCCTATTTAAAAAAAAAAAAAAAAAGCAGTTTTCAGTTGTTTTTAAAAAGAAACAGATCCTTATATTTCTTTGAAACTACCCTAAGAAACTGGAAGAAAAGAAGAAGCAGAAGAAATTTTGAGTCTGGGGCACTTTTTTGGGGGGTCAGGTATGAAGTCCACAGCTACTTTATGATCGTGAAATCACTAAAATAATTTATGTTAATTTAAAATTGTTTTCATGCGGGATAAAAATAACTTTGAGTGAGGTAATTAATCATTAAATACAAACAGAGCAAATAACATACTGCTTTTTATCCCTTTGACCGTGATAAACTTGGTTTTGTTGACTAAACCATGTGGAGTGAAGTGATACTGTATGATTTTGATTTGATTCAAGAACCAATATCACAGCACTCAGGGCATTCCCATAAGCGCTCCGTTTCCATCTTCAGCAGCCAGAGTTCCGATACTAATGGTGCAGTAGCATTCTGATTAAACGACCGTCTTGCCTCTCCTCTGAGCCTCGAGCATCTGCCAGAACCTCTCATCACTCCCCACTGCATCAATCTTACCAGACTAGTGATCCATCTGCTCCTCCGAACTGTACACGCTCTCCCACAAGGCACTAACCATGTCTGCTTTATCATGTATCAGTATTCCACCAAGTTGTGCAGAGCCAGCCAGTCTGTCCGCCTGTTCATTTCCCAACACACCGGCGTCACCCCAGTGAAAGAATCCAGACAGTACTCCTCACCCGTGTCCTCCGCAGCGAAGCATGCCACTATGCACGAAGCATACCTGGTCTGATCTTCCTCAGCATGCTTTCTAAAGCAGTTACAATCACGATGTGTGTGTGTGTCGTGTTCTCTAGTCAGCGGAAAGCTGCAGTGACCGCCTCCACCTCCATTCTTAAGCTGGATGTTGTGGTATCATATGCTAGGCTCTCCTGCACCAAACGTCGACCATTAACTGTTGCTAAGAAGCCCCAAGCACTTCTTTTGCCTCTTGACACTGAACCGTCTGTGTAAATGATCAATTCCTCTGAGCGAGCATTATCTTGCATTAAATGCTGAATTTCCACCTCTGTGGCACCTGCTGGCCAGTCTCTGCATTTCCGGCTCAGCATGATTATGACTCTACACAAGTCTGACTGTTCAGGTGGCACTTACTCTTGACCTACTCTTCTCCTCGCCTAATGTTCTCAGGGATGCAAACCTGTCTGATTGTGTCTTCTGCCTGAGCCATCCATGACCTCCCTCTTATCAGCCGCTGACCCTTAACTGCACCCAGAGCTTCATGCAGAGGGTGGTCTGTGTCTGCAGCTACCCTGAGATATAACTTCACCTGCAGCACCTTGTGCCTATCTGCAACTGTCGGCAACCCAAGGATATATAGCATACACACAATTGGGGTGTCTCTGGTGCAGCCCAGAATGACCCGCATAGCTGCGTTTTGTATGAGCTCTAGTTTGTCCATCTGACTCTTTGAGTCGGTAAGTAGTTCCAGGCCATAATCAGCCACTGATAGGGTCAGGTGCTGATATAGTGTGAAAGGCATTCTCTGCTCTTTGTCAATTGCAGCCATAGTCTTAAGTGCACTTATTCCTTTTTGGCATCTCGTCGCAACACTTCACATGGTCCTTAAATGACAGGCTCCTGTCAAATGTAATTCCCAGATACTTTAGTTTGCTCTCTCTGTTGACATTTCTACCATCTATCGAGAGACTTTGAATATTAGCTTTAACGATTATGTTGTCCAGATAACACCACAAAACAGACGCCTTTTCTGGGTGGACGACAGCCCTTATTTCTGTACACCACTCAGTCACTTTGTCTACTGTCGCTTGTAGCTCCCGAGCTGTTTGTTCCCTCTCTTCCCCCTGCCTATATGCAAGTATATCATCTGCAAAAGTCAGTATCCTTCCAACTCCTGGTGCTTCTAGGCGTGCAATCTTGCTCGTATACACGTTAAAGAGCACAGGCGAGATGGTGGATCCCTGTGGCAGTCCTGGGGCCAAAGTGCATGGTTCTGAGATTTATGAGCCCAGTCGGAGAGCAACCTGACCTGAATACAGGACAGCTGCAACCCAATTCACCAGCCATGGACGGACCTGTTATAAGCATCCTCAAGATCCAGTCCTACCGCCATAGTTTCCTGTCTGTTCTTGAACCCTTCATAGACGTCAAAAGCAAAAGTGGCCGCATTTGCCCAAGTGTCATTTCCTGGCTTGTAGCTACCCAGACCTCTTGGGAGAAGCTTCACCCTTTCCAAAAATTCTTGCAGCTTTACAGCAACTATCTTCTCCAAGACCTTCCCAAATGTGTTTTGTAAGGTGATGATTCTAAAGCCACTGAGCTTAGAATGATCTTTAAAAAGTTTTGGTTGAGGGATTAGATAGCTGTGCACCCAGTCCTGCGGTACTGATGCTGTCTTAATGCTTTGGTTAAAACAGTCCGCCATCTCTGCCAGGTCTACATCGCTCAAAGCCTTCATGTGACCATACCTGTCTTATCAGGCCCTGGTGCAGTGTCTTTTGCTTTTTTTCAAAATTTGTTTGATATCTTCTCTTTGTATCATGTCTTCATATTGCATATTCTTCAAGGTGCCAGCCAACTACTTTCTAACTACATCCCTTATGTCTACATCATTATGATCTTCTGAGCTATAAACCTATGGTGAAAAGCCTCCCCTTTCTCCTTGTCTGTTGTCAGACGTACACCATCGTCTCTACAAATTGTTCTGACTGTCATAGGCCGATCTATTCTTTGCATCTGCCTTTGCAGTTTCTAGAATTTCCCCAATGTTTTATCGCCTCCCATATCATTCACAAAAGTTTCCCACTTTGCTCTTTTGGCCTCTGCAGCAAAGCGCTTGAAAACCTCCACCTTATCTTTTTTCACATTCTCCGCCATCTCCACTTACTCTCATGAGCTTGAGGGTGTCTGTCATACTTTCTTTAGCTGCTTCACTGCGGCTCTTTTTGCCTTCAACGCCTGTTCAACTTCTGGAGTCCACCATGGGGGTTGTAGAAATTAGTTCTGGCAGTTCTGTTGCATGCTCCCTGTTTGAGGCATCCAAGTAGGTTGTTGGTCCACTTATACCGGAAGATCTTGCGTGCTCTCTCAACCTTAACCTTACTGTATGAGATTTATTAAGACATGATATCATATGAGATTATTAGGACATAACAATGATGTCAAAACTGTACAATTTAAATGAAAAAATCCATAATATCTATTATTTTTTTAGGGTATTTATAGTC